CTACGACGGGCCAGCAGGTCCGTGGGCACCCAGGGGCCTGGGCGCGCTTGGTGCCTGGTCAGATGGGCGGCCGCCTCCAGGAGCCGACCTGGGCTCCGCAGCTGCAGGCCCTGCCGGGGCCGCCCCTCCCCCCACGGCTCGTCCCCTCTCTCCTTCCATAGGACCCTCTTCCTTCTGCTGTTGGAGTCTTCGAACTTTGAAAAAATGAGCTTTTGCCAAATAAGACGGGATAGTTTGTGGAGTTTTTTGAGGAGTGTCAGGACTCAGAGCCAGTCCCTCGTGGCTGGGCCCAGCCAGTGGCAGGCCCTTCCGGGCACATGCGGCTCTGGCTTGGGCTCGGCCCTCCCACCCCCGCGAGCCACGCCGGTCCAGAGACCCAGCTCCTCGCATGCCTGAGACTCTCCAAGGGCCACACCGGCCCCTCGCTCCCAGCCAGTACGCCCTCGTGGCGTCATCCCCCTGGGATGGGGCTCCTTGGCGTGGGGTCCCTGTGTGCTCAGTCAGCCTCTATTCCCCCAGCCGCGACTCAAGGTTCCCCTACCCCCTCCCCCGACTTTTGCCGTGAAGGAGATGTGGGGAAAAGGACTGGGGTGGGGCCCAGAGGTGGGCTCACCCTCTCCCCCAAGCCCACCGTCAGAGGGTCTCTCCTCCCCCCCAGTTCTGAGCTCCGATGCGGGGAGTGCCAGGTTCCCCTTCCCTGTGGTTTCGTCTGTGAGGCAGACCCTAAGCACTCCTGGGGGAGCCCTGCCTCCAAGACTCCCCCAGACTTCAGCCTCCCTGGTGAAGTCCCCAGAACTCGCTGGGAAGGCCCAGGAGCTTTGCAGAGGAAACCGCCATGACTCCTCGCCGTCTGCTCTGATTCTCTCCTGACCCCACTGCCTTGAGGTATTAGGAAGAGGGCAGGCCTGTGTGGCGGGCTCCGTGCCGTCACCGTCCCCTTCCCCAGGCAGGCCGACAATACTCCAAAGTGGGGCACCTTTCTTCTCTGGAAACTCTAAGACATTGGACTGAAGGAACCGGCCTGACGTGGGCTACACGGAAGGCAGCCGCTGCCCAGCCCTCTGTGTGCGGAGGCTGCTGGGGGCCACAGCCAGGAGCCTGAGCTGGTCTTTCCCCTTCGGGAGCATCTGCTGGGAAGGGCCATAGGCCCTCCCGAGCTCCGTGTGGCAGCTTGGGCGGCACTCAGCTCTGGAGCCGGGCCGTGCCCAGGAAGCCGCTGGAGGAAGGCCAGGATTTGGCTTGCCCTCAGGAACAGCAGTGTCTGGCCCCTCCTGCTGTTTCTGGGGCTTTCAGAAGCACCAACCCACTTCTCAGTTACCTCCTCTGGCCAGAAGGCCCCAGTGCTGGCCCCATGACCACCTGATGGACGTGCCAGGCACCCAGGGCCCTGACCCTGACCGCAGCATTCCCAGCTGCTCCCCTCCCCCCCCAGCTGCCCGGCAGCTGGGCCTACAAGGGCTCTGGGGACGCTTCCATAGGAAGGGGCTGGCACTTTGTGATTGCCTCGTGTTTAGTGTTAAGCCCCCTGCCCCCAGTGCAAATCCCCGTGTTTTGCTATCTCCTGAACAAAATGTAAACCGACACCAGAAAGCAAAAGGTATCGAATACCTTTTTTACCCATAAGGGTTTTTACAAAGAATGTGTCTCACTAGGAACTAGGACACTCATCAGCCTGAGACCAACTCCTGGATAAAAGGAATAAAGGAGAATCGTGTTTGTAATAAGTTACAGGATTGTTTCTGTCCTGGATTTTAAACTTTTTGTTAAATTGTGAAATTATGGAGGAGTTTTATAGAAAAAAAAAGTGAAATAAAGTCAGATGGGAAAGCAGAGCTGTGGAGCCTCGTGCGTCCGCTTGGTTCCTCCTTGAACAGCCAGGAAGGGGAGAGGGTGGGCGTCAAGCCTGGGCAGGGGGCGTGGGGATGGGGGAGTGTGAGCACGGTTGGCCTCCTAGAGGAATACAGATGGTGCCGCTAGAAATCCAGGAGAGGGATGATGGTGGAGAATTTGGTCCTGGGTCTTGTTTTGGATGGTGTGTTCTTTCCTTGGAAGCCGGCAGCAAGGTTGGGATTGAAAACCAAGCCCGACTTCACAATATGGGAGAATGGGTGTGTAGGGGGGTGGGGGGAATGGGTCGGCATGGGGGATGGGAGAGATGGGGGGTGGGGGTGGAGGGGTGAGGGGATGGGTTGGGGTGGGAGGACGACAAAGGGCAAGATAGGTGGAAAAAGGGTGGTGAAGCTTCCTTTGCTGAGAGCTGGGTGGCCTGCCTGCTGGTTTGTCCGTGGCGGCCTTTGCTCTGGACTCCGTAGCAGCCCGAGTTCTCACAGGCCCCACATATGCAGCCCCGTCCGCCCTGCGAGACCTTCGTCCCTGAGTGCCCCGCGCGGCAGGCTGGCACCCGGCCACTCTGCCCACGGCAGCTGCGACAAGGTGGCAGGCCCCCGCGGGGTCCCATGGGATCCCGGGGAGCCTGCCTTCTCAGCCTGGCCAGAACTCTGCTTCCAACATCAGGGCTCTCCCACCCTGTCTTTCCCACCAGAGAAAGATTCTGCAAGTCCCCTGGGGCAGTTTCTGCTCTGAGCTCCTAAAGAAGGGGCAGAGAGCGAGAGAGGGTCCCCGGGGTTCCCAGGGTACGTGGAGCCCCACCACACACTGAAGGGCTGACTGCCCGGGGCCAAGAATGCAGCAGGGCGGAGAACCGTCGCATGGCCTCTTCCCGAGCCCTGGATGGCGCGGGAGCTGCCGCCGGAGTCCCCGCGGGGCGGACAGAGCGGTCCGGAGAGCCGCCGGGCCTGCGGCGCCGCACGTAGGCACATTCTGAGACTTGAGCCCAGGCACGTGCTCCCGCGGCTGCACACGCGTGTTGGCCCCCGGGGGGGGGGGCGCCCTGAGGAATTCTCATTAGCGGCAGGGAATTCAGTTCCTTAAAAAAAAGAAAAAAGTCTGTGTCATCCTTGGTGCCTAAAGGTGTCTCCACGGGGTGCGGAGCTCTAGGTGGGCAGCCGCGCTCTCTTCTCCCGCGCTCCGCTGTGGCTCTGCGGCTGCTCCTGGGCCGTCTGCCTCCCGCCGGATGGGCTGAGAAGTCCCTTTGAGGCTTTGGTCTCTGGTGCCTTTAAAGTTTCCTTTTCGTCTTTCAGTTGGAAACAGTTGCACAACGTGTTGGTGATTTGTTTCTTTCATCCATAGGACATCTCTGTCCCCTTTCAATGCTTTTGCCTTGAATATTTCCAAATCTTACGTCGTAAATGTCTATTTTGATGACTCCAGAGGAGTCTGCAGGTTCCACAGGCACATGACCCTCATTCCTGCTTCTTTTCCGCGTCCACTTTCTCATGCGTCCCTCGGGAGCCGCGCTCCGCTCCCGACCACAACAGTGCTCCCTCCCAAACAGCGGCCGCCCGCACACCTCTTCCTGAACGCATCTGCGAGCTCCCTCCTTACACGGTGCCGATGCACCCTAACCCGCACCACCAGTCCTGTGGGCGGGCTCGGGACGGTTTCCCCCTGCTCCTCTTCCGTGGCTGCACACAGCTGCACGTGGGCAGGGGCGCGACTGGGTCTCGGGGCTGGCGGGTTGGGGGTATGGGGACACCAGCCCTGGCCTCACCGGCCCGCCTTCGGAGGAGGCTCGTGGGCGGCAGCCTGCTTGTGCCCCCGCGCGTGTTCTTCTCGGAGCATGAGATGTGGCTCTTGCGTGGCCCAGAGTTCCCCGCTTGCTCTTCCGTCCTGTGTGCGGCCCGCGTCCCTCAACACGCAGGAGCCTGACATCCTCGTCCCACTTCTTCCTGCACCGCTGGGTGCTTATTCCCGGTCAAGCATGATACAAGGTTTACGAGTTCTCTCCAGGCTCCTTCCACCAATTCAATGCTTTCTCCTCCCTTTTCTTCCCTCCCTTGCTTTCGTTCTCCCCTCTCCATTTGCTCCGTCCGGAGCGCATCCTGCCAGGAGGCAGGGCCCCAGCTCCTTCTCCGCAGTAGCTACACGAGGCCGGGCATCCCCAGTCATGGTCACGGGCTAACCCGTGCTTCCTCCGCTTACCCGAAAGGCCACTCCATTCCTGCACGCTCGTCTGTGTGCCGCGCTCCTCTCCTCTGCCTGTCACTGACGCCCCCTCACTGAGCTTTTCACTACCGTGGCTTTGTCATTTCTTTATTACTAGTAGAACTAGTCCCCTCTGTTAATTATCATTCCGTTCTTAGAGTTTCCCAGAGAGGCCGGCATGGTTGCTTTCCCACCTAGCCTAATCAGCCTGAGTTCTAGAACGTTTTATCTCGTTATCCTGAAGTTTCCTGTTAACATTTAAGTTTCAATTTTAATTAAAAAAAAATAATAAATGTATCCTGGCTGGCGCTGGGTGGGTCCCCAGAGAATCCTCGGTGGCCGCTCTCTCCGGATGACTGCGAACAGAGCGGGGGGGGGGGGGGGGGGAGTCGTTCCTGCAGCCTCTCTCCAGGGGGTCAAGAGCCTGGGCCATGCCTCACCTTTCTTACGTCAGAGTGTGTGTAGTGTTCACAGTGAAGAAACTGAGCTTTATCGCATCTGGTTTCAGCTTTTCCGCAGCCTTCAGCAGGAACTCCTCACCCACTTGGGCACGACAGACACTGCAGCCGGCCTCCCCGTGGGGTGTCAGGTGGCGTCCCTGGCCTCCACCCCCCCCACGTGCCACTAGCACCCACCTGCCTAGTGGAGACAACCAAAAATGTCCCCAGACATCGCCACATGTGTCCTGGGGCGCAGGACCACCCTGGGTGAGAACCACTGTTTTCATGAAACCAGTTTTATTCACTTTCACCTTTAAACGTGAAGCACTGCACCAGAGAGGGCATCTTAGTTAAAACCTGTCCCGGTCGGCTCGGCACTTGGAACAGCTTCCCTCCTTCTAGAAGGCAGCGCCTCGGGCATCAGATCTTCTGGATCCTCCGATAGGGGTTCGGGGGCACAGGGGCTCCAGGTCCGGGGATGAGGCCGGAAGCCCCGGGGCCTTTCCTGGCTGCTGGTTAGTCGTCATAGTCGTCCTCCTCGTAAAGGTTTTCAATTTCAGCTTGGTAGATCCTGGCCACCATGGCCCTCTTGAGTTTGGTGGTGGCTCCTGTCACAGAATCATGTGCAAGGCGGGGCCTTCCCCCCTCCCCCGCCCCTGCAGGAGCCTCCCTCCCCGCAGGATGAAATGTTCGTGGGCCAGATCGGTCCTGGGGATGCAGGGGGGCACCTGGGGTCGGAACAGCAGAAGGCTGGGATTGAGGGGCCCGAGGAGGGGAGGTACAGTAGGCCCGTCCCAAAGTGCCCCGAGATTGTCCGTCCTGCACGGGGACCGCCGCTGAGGACCGCCCCCCTCCACTCCCAGCCGGGTTCCTCGGAGGAGCCGCTGAAAAACGCAGGCGCCAGGGATCGTGGCCCCGGGAAACGGTGGCATTTTAAGGAGCACGAGCCAGGGGCTTGGGAGGGAGCCCCCGCAGCAGGACGCCTTCACGCCCCGCCCCCGCTCACCCAGCTCCCCTCCAGCCACCGAGAAGTCCGTCCTGAGGATGGTCCACTTCATGATCTTGGCGCTGTGGGAGGTGACCTCGGCGTTGGCGGCGTCGATGCCCTGACCAATGAACTCCAGGACGACAGGGTCCCCGTCGTAGATGATGTCGGACAGCCGGGTGGACTGGCTCCTGAGCTGCCGGCAGAAAGCCACCGCCTCACTGGTCAGCGCGTTCCGGGGCTCCCCCGTGTCCGTGTTGATCTGGCACTGACATTGGGGGCGGGGGGCAATGGGTCAGGAGACTCCCTAGCTGCCCCCAGCCCACCCCCAAGCCCACGAGCCCACTCCCCACGCGGGGGCTCGCCCCAGTGGCTTGTCTCTCTCCTCTCCACCCTGGGAGGGCCGGTCCCCACCCCCTCTGGCGCCAACGAGAAAACAAGCTCGGCTTGGGGAGACTTGCCGCCCACGTCCCCACTTCCTCAGGGCTGGGTGGGCCCAGCTCAGCCCTAGCTGCCCTTTCTCTGGAAATGGGCCAGGAGCTTCCCCCCCCCAGGGGGCCAAGGGACCCACCCCTTGCCTCTCCTCCCCCAGCCTCAGTGTGCCCATCCTGCAACTGGGGCAGCAGCCTCCGCCCAGCCCACAGCCCGGATCATCGCGGGGCTCAGACACGCAGCTGGGAGGTACCTTGAGCGTAAGCAGGGCACACAGGTAGGGCGCGTCCTGGCCCACGACCACGACGTAGCGCACAAGAGGGATGTACCGCTTCACCCGCTCCTCGATGGGGTTCGGGTTGATCCTCTCGCCTGAACTGAGAGTGATGATATCTGCATGCAGACAGGGAGCTGGGGGGGCTGTGGTCTGAAAAGCCGCATCAACTCAGCTCTCCCGCAGCCCACGGCCACCCCGTGATGTTCAGAAAGGACAGAGATCGAGCCCAGGCACACAAAGGGTGTCCCTTCCTCCAAGCTGGACTTCAGTCCTCCCCTCATTGTTGTGCAGTACACTACCTGCACCACCGTCCACAGCAGCCCTGTGGGGCCCACTCAGAGGCACAGAGCACCTTGCAGCCTTGTCTTGCTCACCTCTGGTGTTGCCCACGACGTACAGGAATTTATCAGTGTCCAAAAAGCCTAGGTCCCCTGTGCACAACCAGCCATGGGCATCAATCTTCTCCTGGGTGTTCTCCTCATCATTGAGATACCCCATGAAGACGTTCCGGCCCCAAATGTAGATGTCCCCAATGCCCTCATCATCTTCATCCTGTGTCTTGATGTGGGTTCTGGGGAGGGACTTCCCGCAGCTGGGGACAGTGGGCAGGGAAGGGATGTTAGGGACACACCAGATTCCCACTGGCAGAGGGGCAACCCCTTACCCCACCCCCCACCCCCGCACACAGCTTTTCAGATCCCAGGCCTTTCCTGACTGTCCGGCTTCTAACGTCCTGTGGATCCAAAGCAGGGGACACAGGGAGAAGGGGGACACTGAGGGAAGGCTTGGCCCACCTTGACTTGGAACCAAGCTTGCCGGGTATGTGGACCTACCACACCCAGCTCCTGGCCAGCAGGAGCCCCCGGATGAGCACAGGGGACAAGGCAAGAGGCAGGTGAACTCCAGACACCTTTTGGGTGGGATGGGTTGCTGTGAGAGGTATCTGGGCAGGAGAGAAAACAGGACCATCCAGGCAAGAATGAGGCATCTCACCACCTGCTTATGTCCTTGGAAACTGGAGGTGGGTGCTGGGGCTGATGCTTTGCCTTTCAAAGTTCAAGGTTCCTATCCAGGCACCTGGACCCCAATCCTCGCCGCGCTTGCTCCCCAGGCTGACTGGAGATTCAGGGCAGGGCCTCAGCACGGGCCCGGCCAATGCCCAGGATACACCTGCGTGGACTGAATTGTGTCTTCCCCAAATTCCTAACCCCAAATGAGATGGTGGTTGGAGCTGGTTGGGTTTCCGTGAGGTCCTGGGAGTGGGGACTGCATGATGGGACCGATGTCCTTTAAGGAGAGACACCATCTCTCCACCATGCAAAGACACAGAGAGGGGCCAGCCGTCCACACCACAACTGAATCAGGGACATCTCGGTCTTGCAGCCTCCGGAACTGAGACTAGTTCTCTGTGGTTCTTGAAGCCCCTGGGCCTGTGGGGCTCTGTCTTGGCAGCCCGAGCGGAGACACGCCCCCTGAGGCCTGACGTCCAGCCCCTCGTGCAAGGCAATCTCCGTTCACAGTCCCACGCCTCCCGAAGGAGCACAGCCACCCAATGAAATACTGGAAAACCCAGAGGCCTGGCTGAGCACCTCTGCTCTGACTGGTTTCCTGGCTGTGGACACCACTTTCCTTGCTCGAGCTGCTCAGATCGTGTGTGGAATGATGGGATTCTGGAAGCATCGGGGGCTGGCTCTGGCTGCTTGGATTGCGAGCCCCACTGCCCCCCACAGCAGGGATTCTTGACGCCGGGTTCCTGCTGGAACCCTAGTGGTCTGACACCCCAGGCTGGCAGGGATCACTCCACATGCCAAGTGGTACCTAGAACGTGCGGCAACTCCAAACACCACCACCCAGTCGGGCGACAGCTCAGGTCGCGGAACCTGTCTTTCCTCCAGCCTCCATGCCTGTCCCCCTTTCTGCCCTGCCTCTCTTTGGGTCTGGGGATTGAGGAGACCCTGTGGGTGGCAAAGTGCTTGGTGACTGGCCTTCGTCTTGTCTCTGCTGAAGGTCACTTTCACCTCCCCAAAGCCAAGGTGCTCTCGGGAGGGTGCCGCAGACTCTCTCCTTGACCAGACGCAGCTCGGGCTTCTCTGAGCTGTCTTCTTCACAGCCCTCGGCCTTGGTCTCTAGGCACAAACCATCGCATCCACCCACGAACAGAGAGACTTGAGAAAACCTTAGCATTTCCCAACGCTCAGGCCACATCCCCCAGGATGACCCCATCCCTCTTACATCCCTTCCAGAAAGCTTGAGCTCCCAGGAGAGTTTCCCAGATGACCCCCTAAGCCCCCTTTTAGGGTAGCTACTTTAAAAAAGCTTTCAGACAAGTCCTCCTCTGCCCTTTGAGATGCAAATCTGCCACCCAGAACTTTCTCTGCTCTTTGAAATGTGAACGGTCAGGGAGGTAGCTCTGGCTTTCTCCCCCAGCACCTGTGGGAGGCTCAGGACCCCTCCCCAGAGGGCTGCTTGCTCTCATCTGCTCCTCCTGCCACAAACACACAGTAGGTTTCTTTCTCTCCAGAGAAGCAAGTGCCAGTTGTCAGACCCGGAGGGGTTCAGTTAGTGAGCGCCGACCCCCTTTCCTGCTTTCTGTGACGGCCACTTCCCAGATGACTCAAGCCCCCACCACCTCCCTCAACCCCACAGACCCCTCAAAGACATCCAGTCCCTCGGCCCAAATTCAAGTAGAGGTCAGGTCACACAGGGCCCTCCTTCCGGCTGCAGTGGTAGTTGTGAATAAAATCTGTCCCTGTCACTTTAAGGTGTGTCTGGTTTTACCTTTGAAAATGATCACCCCTTCAGAGGCCAGCCCCAGGTGAGGGAGACCGAGGGCGGGGGAGAAAGGCAGCCCACCAAAAGGGCTGTGACGTGTCCAAGTCAACTATTTTGTCCTGTTTTTTCAGCACATGCTGAGTCCTCCAGGAAATGTGCAGGGGTCCCTGAACGAAGTCAGTGATGGTAGTAGCCAGTCTCCAGATGGCTTTGCCCACCCAGAATCCACATCCTGGTGTAGCCCCCTCCCACCCTGGAGAGGGCTGGTCTTCCCGACCCTCATAGATGTCAGGGCAGAAATAGCAGAGTTCCGCTTCTGAGGTTAGGTCGTAATAGGGTTGCCAGATCAAATACAAGATGCCTGGGTATATCGGAATTACAAGTGCAAGTATTAGTATATCTCAGATATTACAGGGGATATACTTACAGTTTAAAAAAAAAAAAAGGTTATTGTCTGAAATTCAAATGTCCCTGGGTGTCCTGTATTTTATTTGCTGAATCTGGCCACCCTAGACCTAAAGGACAGTGTGGCTTCCACTTCCACCTTGCCCTCTCTGGGGTCTCTTGTGTGGGGGAAGACTACTGCCGTGGTGGGGAGAGGTCAGCTAGCAAAGGAGCAAAGCGGCCGTGTGCGGAAGCCAGCCAACAGCTTGACTGTGACGCCTTGAGGTACTCCGGGCAAGGACCACACAGCTCCCAAGCAGCCCCCTGATTCCCAACCCACAGAGGCCACGGAATCATGTTTGTGGTACTAAGCTGCGAAATTTCAGGGTAACCTTTACACGGCGATGAATGTGTTCCCTCCCAAGGGGCCAGGGTGTCAAAAATGGTTGGCCATTCGTAAAAAGAATGGTTGGCACATTAGAAAACAAATCCGAGGGGCTTCGGGTCACCCCACATGGGGGTTCGCTTGCTCGTTGGACCTCGGATCTGCGTCACCGTGGGGAAGAACAGAGTAGCGGGACCATGCGCCCTGGTCAAGGTCAGCTACCCGCCCCGCCCAGCCACCTGTCCGTCCCTCCACTGAGACCCACCTCAGCAGCCGGAAGTCATGCTGCCTGGAGACCGTGTGGATGCCAGTGCTTTCGGACAGGCCGTAGAGCTCGAGGATGGGCATGTTGAGGCTGAGGAAGTAATCCAGGGTGGCTCTGGAGAGCCCCAGGCCCAGGCTGAAGTACTGCCGGCAGTGATGGAGACCCAGGAACTTCCTGGCCTGGTTGAAGGTCAGCCTCTTGGCCAGGCCAAAGCACAGCGGGGGATGGGTCTGCCTTGAGGAGCGGTCACAGGGGAGCAGAGCTGGGCCTCGGGACTCCACGCCGGCACCCCCCCACCCTCCTCCGGGGCAGCCCTGAGACCCAGCCTCACCTGAACATCCGCTTTCTGTTTATCCTGAGTCCCAGCCACATGGCCCACTGGTCGACCCTCCTCCGGAATGGGGAGGACGAGAGCTGGTCTGTCTTCAGGTTGTCCAGCAATCTGTCCCAGACCCACGGGACGCCGTGGAACAAGGTGGGCTTCACCTCCCGGAGCGTGTCTATCAGGGAGCCCTGCATCACACGGCACCATGGGCTCCCGGCCAGCCCTGCCCCAGCCCCCCAGCCCCCTGCCCCACTGCAGGGCCAGGTGTGGGAAGCCCTTCCCTGCAGCCATGGCCGGGAGCTGTGCCGTGAGGGAGGCAGGGAGCGCCGAGGGGGATGACCAGGACCATCTGCTCCCACCGGCCCTGATCAGTGGGACACGCAGGACCCGTGTCCCTCCCCACGTGACTCAACACATGTGAGATTCAGCCACAACATTTGCTGTTCCTGGGGTCCCATCCACCCTCTCCCAGAACCCTGAGTCGGGGCAAGTAGTGGCTAGAGAAGGGAAGGGAAGGTGCAGAGACAGAGACAGAGACACATGGAAAATGACAGACAAACACACAGATTAAGAGATGGAGGGAGAGAGAGACAAGATGAGACAAAGAGACAGAAGGGACAGGAGGGGAGGGAATGAGAGGACGTGGGGGATGAGGAGGGACAAACTCTGGCTTTATCACCATTTTCACATCTTCTCGGTTACCAAGAGAGATGCCCCAGTGCCCACAAACGCAACATTGACAAAGGAGTGTGGAGAGTAAAGGGAGCCAAGCCACGCCCACCGGCCCCACCGGAACAGAGGCCGGCCCCAGAGCTGAACCGGGTCTCACATTATTAAAAGGCCTTTAAAGGGCTCCAAGAAGAAGAGCTTGTGACACGTGAAAATATGAAATCGAAGCTTTCGTGTCCGTAATGTTTTCCACTTTTTTCAGTGAGAAATCCGCAGAAATTTGTTCTCTCCCTAAGTACCTACGTGATTCACCTCAGTTATGCCCCTCGGCCCGGGAAGCCTACATCCCGCACCACCTGGCCCTTTGCAGGACACGTTTGCGGGCCCCTTGGCTGAGGAAGTCGCAAGGATCCGGCGGGCAACGATGTCGTGGTTTTTCGCTTTTCCCTACTTCCTGTCTTGACGGGAAATGTGTGATTTTCTACACTCAGAGTCAACGCGGCTGTGACTGAGGTCTCGTGACGTATGTCAGTGACCTCATGACCCACATGACACCATCTTGACCATTTTCAGTGCACAGCTCCGTGCCCTGAAGCTCTCTCACACTGTCCTGCAGTCATCCCCGCTGTCTGTCTCCAGAACTTTCCATTTCTCCACACGGAGACTCTGTCCCCACGAAGCACAGACTCCCACCCCTGCCCCAGCCCTGGCTTCCACCCTCTCCTGGTTTATGTGGACAGGACTCCTCTGGGGACCTCCTGGGAGTGGGGTCCTGCAGGACGGGTCCTTCTGGGTCTGGTTGCTCTCGCTGAGCCCCGTGTCCTTGGGGTCCCCCCACGTGGTGGCAGGTGGCAGGGTCCCTTCCTTCCTAGGGCTGGACCATCTTCTGTTGGGTGGGTGGAGCTCATGTATTATTACCCACTGGTCTGTTGATGGGCACAAGGTGCGCTTCCCCTCACATGCTTTTTTAACGGCTGGATCAAGCCTCCTGTGCTGGTGAGTTTTGCCCTGTGGGAGGAGCCGGATGGAGGCTCCCATTCCCCAGGGCATGAGCTCATGTCTGCTCCAGCCCCCTCACTTCACAGACGGGGAAACTGAGGCCCAGAGACGCAGAGGACCAAAGTCACACTGCAGGCTGGGGGTAGGGGCAGGGCAGGCATCCCAGTCCTGGGCCGAGCTCCCCACAGAGGAGGACCCCCCGACTCCTCCAGCCTCCCGGCCTCACCTGTGCCCACGGCAGCAGAGGGCCCGGGAGCTCCGCTCACCCTCAGAGCGTCCGGCTGGGCGAAGTAGAGGGCTCCGGCGACCGAGATGGAGACCCACATGTCCAAGAGCTGGGCCCCCATGTAGCTGAGCGGGAGGTAGTTCACCAGGATCTCCTGCGCCTCCGGGGGGCACTTGTAAGACAGCCTCTGGGCCGTGGCCAGCGTGGTCCAGGTGATCTGCAAGACCCCAGAGCCATCACCCTGAGGCTTGTTCTCCTCCCCCAGGAGCTCACCTTCGTCCAGACGAGCCCCAGAGCCCCAGGCTCCCCGCTCCCGAGGGGACACTCACGTTGTCGTGGCTGAGCATCGTGGCCTTCGGTGGGCTTGTGGCCGACAGGCTGTAGACCAGGGTGCAGCACTGGTTGGGCTTCTGGGAGTCGATGACCCGGTCCAGCGTGTCTTCCGAGACGCCGCCTGCCAGGTCCAGGAACCCTCTCCACTGCAGAGAGCCGGTGGAGGGGTGGGGGGTGGCCGGGAAGGGACCTTGACCCTGAGACCTCAGCCCCCAGGCCACGCCCCCAACCCTGCCCTCCCCAGCGAGGACCTACAGAATACAGGTTCTGCAGCCGGGTCCGGATCTCCTCCTTGTACTGCACAATGGCTTTGAGGTGTTTCAAGGAGCCCTGGATCTGCCAGACATTGAGGGGCTCAGGACGCGCCGGGCAGGAGCGCTGGTCGAAGCTGAGCCCCGAGCCCGCTTCCCAGCACTTCCCCACGGGCGGCAAGGACACTCCCCCGTTTTCTTTGGATTGAGGCAAAACACACAGGAATTGCCCACGTTAACCATTTCAACGTGGACACTTGAGCGGTATTGAGTACATTCACGTGATATGAACGTCACCTCTGTCTAGTTCCAGAACATTCCGCCTCCCCAAAAGGAAACCCGGTGCCCGTTAGCCGTGACACCATTCCCCCGTCCTCCGGCCTATTCCGGATGTTTCATATAGACAGAATCCTACACTCTGTGGCTGCATGTGTCCGGCTCTTCTCATTGAACGTCACGCTTTTGAGGTCCACCCACGCGGGGGCATGTCGGTGCTTTCCTCCTTTTAGGACCGAGGAACAGTCCGGGGTGGGGATGGGCCACCATTTATCCACTCATCGGCTGCTGGGGTGCTGCGCTGTGCCCCTGTCTGGACTGCTGGGAAAGTCTGTGTATGAACTTTTGTTTGCACACTTGTTTTCCATTCTGTTGCGTAAACCCCCAGGTGTGGGATCGCTGGGTCATATGATGGTGATTCTACCGTCGGCTTTCTGAGCAGCTTCCCACACGGCCACCCCATTTTCCCTCCCCACCCCCAGCCACACATGAGGGCTCCAGGGGCCCCGCCACCTCACCAACACTTGTCACCTGCGTTTCTGACAATGGCTGTCTTCGTGGGTGGGAAGTGGCGTCTCATGGCGGCTTCCCTCTGTGTTTCCCGGATGACCGTGGACGTTGACCGTCTTCTCTGGGGCTGACTGGCCATGCGTGTTTCTTCTCTGGAGAAATGTCGAAGTTCTTTGCCCACTTTTGAACCTGGTTTTCGTTGCTGGTGTGTTTTGTTTTTGATGTCGAGGGATCCTGGACCCATTCTGAAAGCGGACTCCGTGGGTGTCCTAGGGCTGCTGGGATACACTACGGTGTTGGCTCTGAGCGGCTTGGTCTGCTCTCTGCTTACAGTCTCGTAATCTCCAGACCCAGAAGTGGGAAGCCTGGGTCCCTTCCGGAGGCCCCACAGCAGGATTGCTCATTTGGGAACTGGCTTCTTTGGGTTGTTGGCAGAATCCGGCTCCCTGCGGCTGCAGGACCAAGGTCTGCCTGTCTCCTGGGTGGATGTCAGCTGAGGGCCCTTCTCCACTCCTGAAGGCCACCACATTCTCTGGCTCAGGGTCCCTTCCTCCATTTTCAAAGGCAGAAACCCGGGGCCAGGGAGGTTGAGTTCTTCTCATCCTTTGAATCTCTCGGCTCTCGGATCTGCCTTATCTTTCTCTGTCTCCAGCTGGTGTGTTTATAGGAGACCCCTCCCCCGGATAATCCAGGATCATCCCCCAGCTGAAGGGCCTTAATATTAATCCCATCAGCAAAATCCCTTTTGCCACACAAGGCGCCGTGATCACCTGATCACACGTCCCAGAGATTAGGGCGTGGACATCCTTGGCATCAAGGGGCTGATCACACGGACCGACGGGATTTCCAGAGAGGGAGGACTCAGGAATGGGGCCAGACTTCGGGTCTGAGCAGCTGGAAGGAGGAGGAAACGCTGAGGGAAGAGCAGATTTTTTGGGGGAAGATCAGGAGCTTGGGTTTGGACAGGCTGCGTCTGAGATGCCTCTCCGGCATCCCACGGTGATTATTGGGAAAGCTGGAGATAAAAATGCGGGAAATGTCTGCAAACAGATATCTCCTGGGGAAAAGACCCAGAACATGGAAAGCAGTGGTCTGCTGTCCCCGGCCTGGCTCTGTGATTAAGGTTCAAGCAAGTGAAGAGGAACAAGGAGGAGCAACCGGACAGTGCAAGTTTCATTTTCGACATCGTCCCCACTGCAGCAGGGGCGTGCCTTCCAGGTGGAGAATGACCCAGGCCACACACCTGGTCACCTGCCCAGACCCTGTTTTGGGTTTATTTATTTATTGAGCATTAAAACATTTGTGGTTTAAAAAAATTACATAACAAAGTTTCTCATCTTAACCATTTTAAGCAGATGGTTTGTGGTGTTTAGTGTATTTGCATGACTGGGAAACAGATCTCCAGAACTTCCCATCTCCCCACATGGAGACTCTGTCCGCATGAATCACGGACCCCCCCACTCCCTGCCCCAGCCCTGGCTCCCACCCTCTCCTCTCTGTCTGTGTGGACGGGACTCCTCTGGGGACCTCCTGGGAGTGGGGTCCTGCGGGATGGGTCCTTCTGGGTCTGGCTCCTCTCACTGAGCCCAGTGTCCTCAGGGTCCCTCCACGTCATGGCAGGGGTCAGGGTCCCTTCCTTTCTGAGGCTGGACTGTGTTCCCACATGGGGATGGACCGTGCGATGTGTATCATTCATCCATCAGCGGACATCCGGTTATTTCCATATTTTGACTGTTGTGGATACTGCTGCTATGAACTTGAATGAACCAAAGTATCTTCGACACCTTTCCTTATTTCTTTCGGGCACGCATCTGGCATGGGATTGCTGCTGCCTCTATAAAGTTTTGAGGACGCTCCATGCTGTGTTCTATAGTGGCCGTGCCGGTTTACGTTCTCGACAGAGGACTGGACTGATGGACGGATGCATAATTTACATTCAGTAAAAGTCACCTGTTTAGGTCCACAGTTTCATGAGTCTTTTTTTAAAAGATTTATTTATTTATGTTTAGAGAGAGAGAGCAGCAGGGAGGGGCAGAGGGGAAGAGAGAGAGAGAATCTCAAGCAGACTCCACACTGAGCTTGGAACCTGACCCGGGGCTCCATCTCGTAATCCTGAGATCACGACCTGAGCTGAAATCAAGAGTCAGATGCTTCAACAACAGAGCCACTCAGGCACCTCCAGTTCCACGAGTCTTGACAAACTTACAGCCGTGTGACCACCACCTTCATCAAGATCTAGAATATTTCCATCGCCCCATGAAGTTTTCTCGGCCCCTTTGTGGTCCGATTCCTCCTTTCAACCTGGCAGCCACTGTTCTGGATTTCTGTCCCATAGCTTTGCCTTTGCTGGAGCTTCCCATATATAAACTCACACCACAGGTAACCTTCTCTCATTCAGCACATTTTGGATGCAGCCACGTGATTACATGTAACAGGAGCCCAGTCGTCACTATGGTTTGGTGGTACTGATGGACCATGATTCATCCAAATGACACAAAAACAGCTGGATCTTGGTTAATAGATGTTTGGGCAGTTTTTTTGCAATCATGCCTAGAACAGCCACAGACACTCACATGCAGGGTAGACACGTGTTCTCATTTCTCTTGGGTACGTACTCCAGGGTGGGAGGTCTGGACCATATATTACACCTTTGTTTCACTTGCTGTGAAACCATCTAGCCATTTTCCAAGATGGCGGTGCCATCTCTGCCAGCAATGAAGGAGCATTCTGGTGGCTCTCTCTCCTCATCAACATGCAGTATGGTCTGTTTTAAAACTGGAGTCATCTAGGGGGTGTTTTGTGGTGGCCCTGTCTTTGCCTACATGCCTCTGTCTGCTTGTCATGGGTCCTCTTAGGGTCCCCATTTCACGGGGTTCAGCTCAGGCTGCAGGACGGGCAGGGGCTGACCCAGAAGTTTCAGCTGTAGGACCACCACAGTTCCTCCACGGAAGGGAGAAGAAGACCCAGAGCCCAGGGTGGCCAAACATGAGTGGGCATTACTCTGATGTCCACTTCCTCTGGGTGCCCCATATGCCCATGGATCTTTCCCCATTCCCTCCTTGGAACAGAGATCAAATAGGAATGACCATACCATTGATGATCCTATCCACGATAGTGTTGGCATTGAGCACTGACCATGCTAAGCTCTGTCCTAGCCTATTTCAGGTGTACCTAGTTCATTCTCAGAACCAAATCCATTAGGTAGGTCCTGTTACCACTCCCATTCTACAGGTGAGGAACATGAGGCACCAGAAGGTCCAACACCTTGCCCCAGGGCCCAGACTTAGTGAAGTAGCTTCCGAGCCATGGAGCCCACACCCAGAACCACTTCACTTGGAGCAGTGCTGGCCCAGAGAAATTCAGGATCTGTTGTACAGTTCCATTAAGATGAAACATCCAGAACAGGCAAAGCCACAGAGACAGAAAGTGGATTGGTGGTTCGCCAGGGGCTGGGGCCAGGGGAATGAAGCATCCCCACTAACAGGCACAGGGCTTGCTTTTCAGGTGATGGAATGTTCTGGAACCAGACAGAGGTCTTGGTTGCATAACACTGTGAGTGCCCTCAATGCTACTGAACTAAAAAGGGTGTCAACAGTAAATTGTATATTGTGAGTATTTTACCACAATTATTTAAAAAAAAAGTAGGAAGAGAGGATCTGCTTGCAGTAGATACATTGACGTCCCAGTTTGGCGTGTGTTGGGGGTCAGCCCCTGAGCCAGCATTGAGCGGGCTCTGACCTCCTAGGGCTTGAGCACCGGCTATGGTCAGCAAAGCGAGGGCCATTTGGCAGGAACAGCACATGCCTGGCACCTCTTACAGGCCCCAGACCTGCCCATGCATGGAATCCACAGTTCCTAGCTTGTGAGTAACAGTGGGATAGTAGGTGCGTCATTCATTGGATCTGTTTTGTCTACTAGGCAAAGTCTTTGTCTTTACCTGAGCTGTGCCCTCCACCAGGCAAGCCTGCCTGGCTCCCGCAGTTCCCTGAGTCACTGACCTGGATGATTTTCTGCAACTGCTTGTCATTATCCACCACAAAGATGTCTATCTCTGAGCTTTCAGCGATGACCTGGCAGGCTTTGGGGGAGTTGGTGGCCAAGATGCCAACAGAGAAGCCTCTAGAAGCAGAACCCAAAAGGTGAGGACCCACCGGTGAATTGCAGGGTTTCCAAGAGGCTGGCTTTGCCAAAGGAAAGACAGTCCCTCAGGCAGAGCCCTTAGTGAGGCAGACAGCCCCGAACACCCACAGTATGCCTTGTTTGAAGGTGGGTCTCAGGGACAGCTTGGGTGTAAGCCCTGCCCTTTAGAGGTTCCCCAATGGTCTGGACAAGTAGGGGAGGGCTCAATGCTGGAGAACCCTGGGAAGTGGGGAAGGTTTTTGGAGGAGGGGTCATGGGGATGGGCTTCACAGGATGTGTAGGAGTTCAACAGGTAGAGAATGTCAGGAAGGGTGAGCTGGCTGGTGCTCAGGGCTGAGTCCTTGATGAGTCCCACTGAACACAGACCAAACAGGAGCCTAGTCTGCTCCTTGAACTGGGCTCTTCCATGAGACCCCCTATGGATTCGAGAGGAGGGATAAGACTTTGCTGGGCTGGTGGTTTCCTGCCTCCATGTACCCCAGGGAGATACCAGATAACTCTTACCCAGCCATGATAGCACCAATGCTGGCGATGACCCACTCCTCCGAGTTTAACCCCATGATCCCCACTCCATGGAAGCGCTCCAGGCCCAGCTGGGGAAGGAGGCCCTTGTGAGGCAAGGGGGGCTCATCTGCCACTTGCCCCTCCCTCCCTGCCCCAGAGCCGGAGCCTCAGGCTGAGAACCCTGGGCTCCCTTTTCTCTGTTGACCATTTGGACTTCTGTTTGCTGATAAAAGAGCCCATCTCCCCCATTACAAGCATCTAGGGCAGTGGTTCTCAACAGGGATGACTCCACCATCCCAGGTGACATTGGGTAACATGGGGAGACATTTCTGGGGAAGGGAATGGTGCTGACATCGAGTGGGTGGGCACCAGCGGTGTTGAGAAATATCCTCTAATGTACAGGACAGACCCGTCCGCAAAAAATGATCCAGCCCCCAGTGTCCATAGTACTGAGATTAGAAAATATGAATAAAACGTGCTCCCCCTCCAACATTTTTATGAATAAATATTTGACAAAATCAGGGCTGTACTAGGCCTATATTATCATTAACACACCATTGTTGGTAAAACCATACATCCTGACTATTTTCCCAGCCTTTAAATATTTCTTTATGGTATCAAATATAACACCTCAATGATATTGGGTAATATAGAGATGTCACAATTTGGGGGCATCTGGCTGGCTCAGTTGTTAAGTGTCTGCCTTTGGCTCAGATCATGATATCAGGTTCCTGGGATCAAGCCCTGAGTCAGGCTCCCTGCTCAGCGGGGAACCTGCTTCTCCCTCTACCCTTCACCCTGCTTGTGCTCTCTCTCTCAAATAAATAAATAACATCTTTTTTTTAAAAAGTCCTAATTTAGTGACCCCCCCCCCTTTATTGGTCGATACTTAGGTAAGATCCTTTTTCCCCTCCATTTTTATTAGATAAAATATTGGGAGAACATCTGCCTAGCTCAAGCTCTGTATACCCACATTATTTGTGCTGATGTCTGGATTGACTTAAAAATTCAAAATGGCGCACCATTCATCCATCCTGGCAGAACCAGGGGTTGCCACCACCTGGCCCCCAGGTGGGCCTTTCCCCTCCACTCTAGGCTTCTGAGCACAACTGCCCACTGCTGGTGTCCTTGTCTAAACAGGGCACCATCAAGTCAACATAAAGAATTGTTGATGTTACCTACTCCCCTGTGCTGAACCTGCCTTCTGCAATCTCAGTTAACAGCAGTTCCTTCAAGTTGCCCAGGCCAGAAATCTTGATTATCCTCAGTGCCTTTCATTCTCCTGGACACCCAACTCATCAAGACATAATGTTGGCTCTGCCTTCAGAATCTGACCATGTCTCATCCACTCTCCTGCTACCATACAGGTCCCAAACACCTTCTCAACCTCAACTGGTCTCTCTTTTTCCACCCAGTCTGTTTTCTCTGCAGCAGCCACACAGTGCCTGTGAGTACCCAACTCTGGGCACATTTCTCTGCTTACAGCCCTCCATGGCTCCCACCTCATTACTGGTAAAAGCCCCCCAAGACCCAGCAAAACCTGTCCCTATTGCCCCCTGCCCTCATCACCTCCTTCTCCCCCTCACTCACTCTGCTTTAGCAACGTGGGTCTCTTTGCTGTTCAACCAACATGCCAGGTCCCGTCCTGCCCCAGGGCCTTTGCACATTTGTTCCCACTGCCTGTAACACTTACCCCCAAATACTCACTTAAATTTTCCCCCTCCCAGTTGTTTAAGTCTTGTTCAAATGCCACTCTCAGAGAGTCTCTCTTTGGCCACCATAGGGTAAGATTACAACCCCTACCCCAGCTCATCAACCCCTTTTATTTTCTTTAGTTTTCTCTGGATCACTGTCTACTTCCTGAATACTTGTTTGTTATGTTGACTGGACAAGTCCCTAGAGGTCTCTTTCCCCTTTTCCTAATCTGAAAAACAGGCATTCCTTTCTTGAAGATATACCCAAGGGGCTAGATTCTGGAGGCCTGCAATGAATGAGGTGGTCTGGCCCCTTGCCCTCATGAACTGACCAACTAAACAAATAAAATTATACAACTATGCTGCCACATGGCTATGAGAGCTGGGCAGAACATTTTCAAAGGGGCTATGATAGAGTGTGTTGGGAGCTGGTGAGTCTAGGGAACCAGGGTGATCAGGGATGACCTCGCTCAAAAGATGAGGTATTGGAGGGGCGCCTCGGAAGTTTAGTCTGTGTCTGACTTGTGATTTCAGATCAGGTCACGATCTCAACCTGGTGAGGTCAAGCCCTGGGCCAGGCTCCGCACTCAGCAGGGAACCTGCTTGAGATTCTCTCTCCCTCTCCCTCTGCCCCTCCCTCCAGGAAATAAATAAATCTGAAAAAAAAAAAAAAAGGGTGAGACAGTGGCAAAGAGACACGGTAACAGTAACTACTGTAAAAATATAGCTAACGCTGATGTAATGCTCAGTGTGAGTCAGGGGCTGTTTGATAGGTGTAAACTTCCTGAATTCTTTTTTTTTTTTTTCTTTAAAGATTGTATTTACTTCTTTATTTGAGAGGGGAGAGAGCACAAGCAGGGGCAGGGTCAGAGGAAGAAGGAAAAGCAGGTTCCCCGTTAGGCAGAGAGCCTGACACCAGACTCAGTCCCAGGACCCTGAGATCATGACCTGAACCGCAAGCAGACACTTAACCCACTGAACCACCCAGGCGCCCCAACTCCCTGACTTCTTGTAGCAAACCCTTGTTTTATACTAAATTTAATAAAGTAAATGGATCTGTCCATATATAACGTTTACATTTTTAATATCATACATATAAAAAATAGATATAAAAATCCCCATTTTAGGGCGCCTGGGTGGCTCAGTGGGTTAAAGCCTCTGCCTTTGGCTCAGGTCACGGTCTCAGGGTCCTGGGATCCAGCCCCACATCCGGCTCTCTGCTCGGCAGGGAGCCTGCTTCCTCCTCTCTCCCTCTCTGCCTGCATCTCTGCCTAGTTGTGATCTCTGTCAAATAAATAAATAAAATCGTTTCTTAAAAAAATCCCCATTTTACAGATAGGGACACCGAGGCACGGTGAGGCTGGGTCATTAAAAAAACATTGGTTTGAAGCACCGCCGACACCCAGTGTTCCATTAGCTTTCTGCGTACAACACAGTGATTCCAGAGGTCTATACGTGATGCCACATCCACAAGCGTAGCCTAAGTCATTTTTTTAAACAAAAAAGCCACAGGCATCTAACCACACCTGGTGCTGAGAGAGGTTAAGTGATGTGTGCAAAAATGGCAGGTAAGGGCGGAGCCAGACGAAAGGATGCCTGTCCAGGCCCACCTGTCAGGAGGGGCAATAAGGAAGAGGCGGGGCGGGTGTCGGGATGTGGCGCGCAGGCGCAGTGGCCCGGGCACAGCAGTGCGCAAGCGCAGAGCGGCGGGCCCGCGCGCAGGCGCAGGACGGCACGTGGTACCTTGAGGAAGGCCTTGGCGGCGCGCCGGCACTCCTCGTAGTACTCGATGTAGGTGAGCAAGTGCCAGCCGTTCCTGTGCTTGGAGCCGAGCGCGATGTAGTTGGCGTACTTGATGGCCGTGTTCATGACCATGTCATGCACGGTGATGGGCGCCTGGCTGGTGAAGGTGTCCTCCTGCCGCAGGTGCACCTCGCCGTCGCGTTTTGACGTGCAGTAGGGGTGCTCTGTGGGCAGGCGGGGCTCGGGGGCAGTGAGACCCCGGGTGGGTGAAAGAGGGGCAGGGCTGTGGCCCTGGTGGCGGCAGGGGCGGGCAGAGCAAGTGGGGGAGGGCATGGCGGACAGAGGGAGAGAGACGCCGCCGCCTAGGGAGAAAGATGGAGGGGGATGGTGAGACAAAGAAGAGGGCGCAGGGACGGGTGGACAGACAGATGCACCGGCCCAGACGGGGGGCTCGGCAGCAGCCCACCAGCAAGCAGGCAGCCCAGTCGCAGGCCCGCTGCCCCTCCTCTGGACTCCCCAAGGACCAGCGCCTCTGACCACTGTGTCCACCTTCGCCGCCTCCCTCCCGTACTCCCAGCCGCCCGGCCAGCCTCGCCCAGCGCCCTGACCCCATCCCAGAGATCCCGAGGCTGGCTTACCCACCTTCGGTGGGTGACTGGCTTCTGTGGGGCCCAAAGAGCCCCCCTTACCTTTGGCTTTAGCTTCTGATTGCTGATCTCTCTCCTTTGGACTCAGTGTCTTGCGTGAGGACATGGTATGCAGCGTATCTTTGGCCTCACTTCTTACGGCCTGGGGAGCATCCGGCCTCCTGGGACATCCACAGAAACACACTTGCAGTCCAGTGGAGGGCTGCGAGTGTCCAGGCCGGTGGAGGCCCGGGGCTCCCAGCTACTCGCTGGGGGGGGTGGTGGTGGTCAGGGAAGGCTGCTCTGAACAGTGGGTAGGAGTTGACTTGGCGAGTGGAGGGGGGAAGATCTGAGGAAAGAGAGAGTGTGATGAAGGCCATCCCGGCTGGAGTATAAGGAAAAGCGGGGGGGGGGGGGAAGGGAGGAAAAGAAGCCAGATAGGTGGTGAGAGGGGGATCAGCATGGGGTCTTGCTGGCTGTGTTAGTACAGAATTGCTTTCTGGTTCCTTCTGTGTCCAACCCCCACGCAGTGTGGAGACTGGCTGACCCCTGACGGGAGCTGAAATGCGTCAGCTCCCAGCCCCTGCCTTCCGCCCACAACACATTTTCACCTTCTCTGTCATCGGGGAGGCTGTGCCCACTTCGGTCTGGCAATTCTCTTTATGAGCTTTGATGACCCCCCTGCTCTAGCCACAGGGGGACAGCAGTCTCCAGACAAGACATCCAGAATGTTCCACCTATGGCCAGCCTTTGTGACCTCACTGTGGGTTCTGTAGCCTGGAGTCATGATGGAGATGTGGCCTGTTGCTGCTTGGCAGAGGCCTGTCTAGGGGCCAGGGGTCTGCCCCCACAGCCAGTGGTTCCCAAGGTGACCGCTCCCAGGGAGGAGCCAGCAGGCAGCAAAATCCTAGCTTTAAAGCTGGCAGCTGGAGGGACTCCATAGTCCCTGGCCAGCATTGTTAGCTTTGGGTGACGAAGTTCACAGGAGACCAGGATGGGAATAGTGAGATGAGGAGGCATGAGGTCTCGGAGGCCAGCGAAGCCGAGTGTGTCAGGGAGCCAGTCAAGGTCGGCAGAACCCGAGGCTCCCAAAAGGTGGAGAAGGACCTTGAGTCACTGTGCCTGGGGGGTCCTGAGTTCACCTGCCCATTAGGCGCAGCCTGGAGCTAGAATAGTTTCCCGGGTGGGCATACAGCTGGATTTTTACATATTGCGTTGGATGCTGTTGAGGTCGATAAACCAAAAAGGCATTTCAAGGCCTCTCTGGTTCCTCAAAAAATCAAACATAGAGTTACCATATGACCCAGCAATCCCATTTCTGGGAATATACCCAAGAGGACGGGAAGCAAGGGCTAGAAGAGATTTTGCACGCTCACGTTCCCAGCAGCCTGATTCACAACAGTTAAAAGGAAACCACTGCCCACGGATGGATGAAGGATAAACAAAATGTGTCCATCCATGCAATGGGCTATGATTCAGCCTTAAAAAGGAAGGCCATGCCGACACCTGCTACAATGTGGATGAACCTTGAGGACATTGTGCTCATGATATAAGCCGGACACAAAAGGACAGATTCTGTCTGATCCCATTTGCGGGAGGTACTTAAAGCAGTCAGGCTCAGAGAGACAGAAAGTAGAGTGGTGGTTGTTGGGGTGTTTGTGGAGGTTCCAAGTCTTGATTAATTTGGAAGAGAGTCACATGAGGGGGAGAGCCAGGTGGTTTCTGGGGCCCGCAGTGGGAGCCTCCCCTTCCTGCTTTGGCCAGCCGTTTCCTCAATCAGCAGCTTCTTGGGCATAAGCAGTTTCCCTGAGCACCTCGGGGACAGCGGGAGTCTATCAGCCGCTGGAGAGATGATGGAGCCTTCTCGGCTGGGGACCTAGGAGTAGTTCCTGAGTAGGCTTTTCCAGCCCTATGAGCGATCCCCCCATCCCCCCGCCCAGCTTTTTTGAGCTATCATGGACAAACCATAAAATGTACCCATTGCAACAATCCAGTGATTTTTAATAAAAGTCATACAGTTGTGAAGTCATCACCATAATCATCCTGAAAGTTCCCTTGTGCCTGTGTGACATTGACCGAGCTCCTCATCCCAGCCCTGGGCAACTACTGATCTGCTCTCCGTCCATCGTTTTGCCTTTATTAGACATGTCATATAAGTGGAGTGACATAGTGTGTAGCCTTTTGCATCTGGCTCCATCCACGTGTCTCCGTTGTTCGTGCATTCTTGTGGTTGAGTAGGGTTCCATGATTTGGATGGTACTGTGTTTTGTTTATTGATTCATCGGTAGGTGGACATTTGGATTTTCTCCTAGCATTTGGTGATTATGAATAACGCTGCTGTGAACATTTGTGTACAAGCTTTTGGGTCATCTCTCTTTGGCGCGTACCTAGGAGCCGAATTGCTGGGTCATACAGTAACTCCATGTTCAACATTTTAAGAAACTGTCTAAACTGCTTTCCACAGCGGCCCTGCTGTTTTCATTCCCTCCAGATCCTTGCTGACACTCAGTATTGCCAGATTTTAAATTTTTAGCCATGGGTGGGGGGTATAAAGTGCTGTCTCATTGTAGTTTTGACTTGCGTTTCCCTGATGATTGGTGACATGAAGCATCTTTTCACACGCTTAGTGACCGTTTGTCTGTCTTTAAAGAAATGTCCAATCAAATCCTTTTCCTATTTCTAAATTTAGCCATTTGTCTTTTTATTTTTGAGTTGTGTTCTCTACATATTCTGGTTATAAGTTCTTTAACAGATAAGTGATTTTTAAAAATAGTTTATTCATTTGAGAGAGAGAGAGAGAAAGCACACAGAGGGAGATGGAGAAGCAGGCTCACCCATGTGGGACTCCATCCCAGGACCCTGGGATCATGACCTGAGTCAAAGGCAGATGCTTAACAGACTGAGTCACCCAGGCGCCCTGCAGATACATGATTCTTTTTTCTTTTTTTTTTAACTTTTTCAACTTTTTAAAAAAGATTTTATTTATTTATTTGACAGAGAGAGAGAGATCACAAGTAGGCAGAGCAGCAGGCAGAGAGAGAGGGGGAAGCAGGATCCCTACTGAGCAGAGAGCCCAATATGGGGCTCGATCCCAGGACCCTTAGATCATGACCTGAGCCAAAGGCAGAGGCTTAACCCATTGAGCCACCCAGGTGCCCCAGATACATGATTCTTAAATACTTCTGTCTTTTCAGTTTGACATTTGCTTGGCAGTATGTTTTGAAGGGCAAGAGTTTTTAAATTCGGTGAAGTCCAGTCATGTCATTTCATTTATGCTGTGTGCTTTGCATTCACATCTAAGAAATCTTTACCTAATCCTAGGGCACAAAAATTTTCTCTTTACCCCTAAAGTTTTGTAGTTTTGGCTTTTATATTTAGGTATATGATACATTTTGAGTTAGTTTTTGCGTGTGGTGTGAGATGAAGATCTGTGTTCTCTTGTTGTGTTTGCTTTGGGCACGTTATTGCGGCATTGTTCATTACAAAGACGGCCCTTTCCCCCACTGAACCACTGGGGCACCTTCATCAAAAATTAGTTGGCCATAAATGTGAGCTTTCATTTCTGCACGCTCTGTGGTATTGACCTTGAACCACACTGTCTTGGTCAGTAGCTTTACGGGAAGCTGTGAAGACGAAAGTCTTGCATCTTTGTTCTTTCATTAAAGGCAAGGATCTGGTGGATGGCAGGGCAGGAGGAGTAAGTCATTACGGGAGACACAAGGATTACAAGGACTCTGAACAATCAGGCTCTTTATAGCAGCATGGTACGGCTGACGGAAACGACAGGCTCTGAGTTCAAATTCTTAACCTCAGCATGTTCAGAGAATCCATTCAGCGGAGGCTATCGGTGACTTCTTAACCTCTTCCAGCTGTAGGTTGCTGAGTTATAACATGGTGTGAATTCACAGCCTTTCCAGATCTTTGCATGAAAGTTAGTGCATTATTTGAGTTAAATGGTACCCTGAGAGTGGAAATATTGAAATGGTATTATTTGGGAGGAAGATTGTATGACTTTCAGCGCCTCAAAATTTTATTTATTTATTTATTTATATTTTAATTAATTGATTTATTTTTCAAATTTTTATTTACATTCTGTTTGGTTCACATGTGGGGTAGTTTTGGTTTCAGGAGTAGTATTTATCACTAGATTAATCACTTACATAGAATACCCAGCGCTCATCACAGCAAGCCCCCTCCTGGGTACCCATCACCCTGTTTAGCCCACCCCCAACCCACCTCCCCTCCAACAACCCTCAGATCGTTCTCCGTGGTTAACAGTCTCTTATGGTTTGCCTCCCTCTCATTCTTTTTTTCCCCCTTTCCCCACATGTTCATCTCTTCTGTTTCTTAAATTTCATATATGAGTGAAATCAGATAGCATTTGTCTTTCTCTGACTGACTTATTTCACTCAGCATAATATACTGTAGCTCCAGCCATGTCCTTTTTTCCTCTTTTTTTAAAGATTTTATTTATTTGATGGAGATCACAAGTAGGCAGAAAGGCAGGCAGAGAGAGAGAGACGGGGAAGCAGACTCCCTGCTGAGCAGAGAGCCCGATGCGGGGCTCGATTCCAGGACCCTGAGATCATGACCAAGCTGAAGACAGAGGCTTTAACCCACTGAGCCACCCAGGCGCCCCTCCAGCCATGTCCTTATAAATGATAAGATTTCATTCTTTTTGATGGCTGAGTAATACTCCATTATACACACATGCACACACGTGCGCGTGCACACACACTCCACATCTTCTTTTATCCATTCATCTCTCTCTGGACATCTGGGCTTTTTCCATAGTTTGGCTATTGTGGACATTGCTGCTATAAACATTGGGGTGCAGGTTCCCCTTTGAATCACTATGTTTGTGTCCTTTGGATAAATACCTAGTAGTAAAATTGCTAGGTCATAGGGTAGCTCTACTTTCAACTCTTTGAGGAACCTCCATACTATTTTCCAGAGTGACTGCACCAGCTTCCATTCCCATCAACAGTGTAAGAGGGTTCCCCTTTCTCCCTATCCTTGCCAACATCCATCATTTCCTGACTTGTTAATTTTAGCCATTCTGACTGGTGTGAGGTGGTATCTCATTGTGGTTTTGATTTGTATTTCCCTGATGCCTAGTGATATTGAGCACTTTTTCATGTGTCTGTTGGCCCTTTGGATGTCTTCTTTGGAGAAATGTCTGTTCATGTCTTCTGCCCATTTCTTGACTGGGTTATTTGATTTTGCGGGGGGTAGGCTCTGTGCTGTTGTCTCTAGAAAGTCTCATTCTGTGAGCGTCTTGCCCTGCACATGAACCAAAGTTCTGCCCAAATAAAGCTGCCGTCCCCCTGCGGTCACACTCAGGCCCCCAATCCCTCTGAATTATTACAGCTTTCTCGGAAAGAATCCAACAGAACCCATGCTGTGTTCCTTATAGTGCAGGTGTCAGGAGGTGACGTAGACGTTGACCACCGGGTCAAGTTGGTGTCTCTCAGGTTCCCCCACCTTAAATTGATCTTTGCTGCTTTTACAACTGATCAGAATTTCGTTGGGAGGTATTATGAGACGACACCAATTATCTTCCCTAGCATCAAAGCTCCAGCCAGCGACCTCAGTGTCCACGGACAGCTCCTGATTGTCCCCCCCCTCCCTCCCATCATGATTGCCAAACAGAGACTTTCTCATCCCATCATTCCTTCTGTGTTATCGTGTCATTCTATGACAATAATGACCACCAGTTATTCTGTGGGAAAACAGCCTCAGGAGGACGTGCATCAACAGCACGAGCTGAGGCAAGAAGGCAAGGCAGCACTGTGTTTGACCTCAAGGGGGATTCGAATTTTTCAGCATGTCCACAGATGACCACGGTTGTGTGCTTGGGGTCATTGATTTGGGGGTTACAAATAAATTTTAGTGAGCAGGCAAATTTGCAAATATAGAAGCTGGAAAATAAAGAAGACAGACTATATTTGCATATGAAAAAAAAATTAAAAACCTACGAGATCAATAAGGAAGGCCATCAGATGTGCCATTATCCTGTATGCATTGCATTTGTGTTTGTTTTGTTTGGCAAGGAGTAGGTCTTCATACCTTTCTAATCGATTTATAATTTTATATTTTAAAAAGGAAAGGGACCCTGGACTATGTCTGAGTAACGGAATCTTAAAAGACTGGAAATTTTCTTTCTCTTGTCCTTGTAGGCTGTCCCTCTCTGGCCTGGGAGGTGTCCCTTCCACTGATCTTTCGGGGACCAGCCCTGTGGATTTGCCGTATCAGTGTTGGTCTGCTTATATGTGACCTTTGGAAGAACAACAAACTTCTGTCTTCTTTAAGTTGCTTTATTTTGGGGCCTTAGGACAACAGTGAAACTCATCTGCAAAGATGGGGTTCATCAGGAACCATAGCTGTTAGCCAAGACTGATGGGGGCTTTGACGGTGACGGTTTACCCGTAACGAGGGGTTTCGGGCCTCAGACGCCCCATGCCATCAGCCTTCTCTGTGCCCCTTCACCTGGAAAGGTGTGAGTCTCCAATAGCTACCTTGTCAGATGGGGTCTGTTTTTACAGATTCCCACCCCATCCAGACGCAGAAAGTTGAACTCACAGAGCCCATCAGAATTTGAAACCAGAACTGATTCCAGAGTCCAAACTTCTCAACAAAGGACAAAAAGTTTGAAACTGGGGCCACAAATCCGGACATGGGATGCTGAATTGCTTTATTATCAGAACTTGTTGGAAAGGTTTCCAAGTTGCTTCCAGGAAGATGAGTCAGTTTGGGGACCCACTTCAAACTCATGAAGGCTTTTCTTTCTGAGGCCTCTGTCAGTCCTCTGGGGAGAAAAGAAAATCTGACTGGAACCATCTGATGGGCCAACGTGCCTCAATCCTTGGGTTCCTGGCAAATAGCACTTTTCCCCACCGAAGTTTCTGACAAAGCTGCAGTATAACATCTGGGCATTTTTCTGAAAGAAAAAGCATGAGTTGAGCCCCAAACTAGAATCCCCACCAAGAAAATGTCTGTGTGTGGCCTCCCAGCTCCGCTCACAGACCCGCCTGCACGTAGGGGAACCACCCCTGTCGGACCCATTCAAGGCACAGCCCAGCAAAGCCAGTCTCACCGTCGGGACAGCCAAGAGCAGCTCCACCAGGGAAGTCAGTGGTAGAATTTCTCAATTTGCTTTTTGTATTTCTGGGTGATAAAATGTCTCCTAATCTTTGTCGTCGGACCTGTCGGGAAAGGGGAGACCAGTTCAGAGGTAGGTATGAAATCAAAGTGCATGTGTCCCGTGTGTAAGCCGCAGGGTCCTGTGGCAGGGGCAGGCTGGGGCTGGCTCTGCCATCAACTCCGTGCATGCCTTGCCTTCCCCATCCGTGTGGAGATGACAGAACCTGCCCCTTGGCTGGGGCTGTGGGGTGAGGACTATGGGAGCAGGGAGGTAGACAGCGTGCCAACCTCTGTGGCTCACGTGGCCTGTGCACCCCATGAAGGGGGCACACCAGCCCCTGATTTTACAGGGGAGGAAACGGGCTCAGAGAGGGCCAATTGCTCTGAGCTGACCCAGCGCGTATACGGTAGTGGCAAGACTTGAATTCGGGTCCCGATCCACGCCCCAGGTTACTCCCAAGCTCTGGGTCACCATGGGGTTCAGGCTTCCCCAGCTGTGTCCTGAGCAGCCCCATAAGGACTGCATTTTCAAATTGTTTGGAAGAACCAAGGATTGTAGGGACAAGTTACTTGGAGGGGACAGGATTTGAGCCCAAGTTGTTGGAGGCCATGTGCTTGCCTTCACCCTAACTGCGATCCACGTCATCAGATTAGAGCTGAGTGCTGAGAGCAAGCCCCAGGAAGGACGCTAAGGGAAAACAAGACCCCCAGCCCCCCTGGCGTGAGCCCTCCCCTCGCGGGGCAGACAGACCAGGATCAGTGAACACGCAGGGTAATCCCAGACTATGATGTGGCATGGGGGTAAGATGGCAGCGGTGTTGGAGTGGGGAGGGTGAGCTGTAGAGTTGCTCCATTGAGGGCAATGGTGAGTCATGTTAGGTCAGAGAAGGCTGCTCGAGGAAGTGGCCTTTAGTGTGAGATGTGGACAATGAGAAGGAACCAAAGAATTGAGTTGGGCAGGGGGACATTCCGGGCAGAAGGAGTAGCAGGTGCAAAGGCCTAAGGCAGAACTACACCTGGAGGGTTGTGGGAACAGTGCACAGGCCTGTGCGGTTGGGCCAGAGTAAGTGAAAAGGAGAGGTCAGCAGGAGAATGGTCATGCACGGCCATAATGAGGAGTTTGGCTTTTATTCCAAGAGCAGGGCATGGGAGAGAAGGGACGTGTGTGTATGTGTGTGTGTGTGTGGCGAGGGGAGCTATGCACCAATGAGCTGAAAGTGGACCCTCAGACCCCCAGTAAAGAGCACATCTCGGTTCCCATGTGGCCCTGGACACTAGCAAGGGACCAGCCTCCAAGTGCCAAGGCCACCTGCTCTCTGGGCTGCTCACCCAGCTCTCCATGTAGGACAGAAAAGTCCTTCTCCAGGATGGCCCACTTATGGATCCTCTGCGTGTTGGAAATGGCTTCCTGATTCACAGCATCTATGCCTCGCTGGATGGCCTTGTAGACCAGGGGGTCCTGCAGCTCCAGAATCTCAGAAACGGTGGACACGTGGCTTCCCAGGTTCCGGCAGAAGTGGATGGCCTCCAAGCTTAACTTGTCCAGTGGCTCTCCGTTCGTCCTGTCGACCTCACACTGGCGCAGGACACCCACGTCACCACACCCAATGACCACACACACTCCCTGGACACACCCGAGGACCAGGAAGTGGGTCTTGAACCCACAGGGATGTGCCCTCTGGACCCTGAGGCAGAGACTCCCCCCGCTCCCACCCCTGCAGGACAGCAAACCCATGTTACCTTCAACGTCAGCAGGACGCTCAGAAACTTTGCTCTATCTCCCACTAACATGGCATTACTGACTATGGGAATCTTCTCTTTAACCAAGTTCTCGATGGGAATAGGGGCCACGTTCTCACCACCAGCCATGATAAGGATTTCTGGAACAAAGCGTGACTCAGGGTTCGACAGTGACAGTACAAAGGGCTTGTCCCCACCTCCCGAGGATCAGAGAAAGATGCTGACACAGATGACCACTCACTTAGAAAACCCCAGAAGCAGAGAAGGACCCCTGCCCACAGCCGGGACTCCCACCATGCCCTTCTCCAAGCCCCCGACCCAGCATCACTCTGCTCCTCCTCTTCCTGTCTCCTTGAAATTCCCATCAAAAATGCCCAAGTCCTGCGGACTTCACTTGGACAGCGCCCTATGAATCTACTGCCTGTTTCTTGGGCCTCTGTACCCTTTCCAAGCCCTCCAAAAAGTCTTGCTTGGAAGATAGCACAGTGCTTCTGGCCATGCCCTGTCTCTGTCTCCAGATTTCGTACCATTTGGCAACCCCAAAAGAACCTTTAAGAGAATTGTGTCACTTTCCCCCACCGGCCTCTCAAATTCTCTAAGAGCCCCTCCTCCTGCCCCAGATCTGTTCTTCTCTTTTGTCTAAGGATGCTGGCTGCCTCCTGTCCCACCCACCCAGACTCCCTGTGTCTTAGCCCATGATCTTTCAGCCATCCCTACTGAGGTGGTTAAGGCAGTGGTAATAATGTGATGGGGATGGACACCTGTGCTAGTGTCTGCCAGGGACTCAGGCATCGAACACTGCTGTTTGTTTAGGGAACCCTTCTCTCCACCTCAAACGCTTGTGGTTTGGATGAGGACTGCCAGGATGAGCATGGGACTAGGTCCGACCAGTCCGCACCCTCTAGTCTCTGCAGAGGTTCATCTCGAGATGGGATCCAGTGAGAGTCAGATCTAAAACTGTGGCTATGCCTTGGTGGTTAGGGTGAGCCTAGACTGTTGGCAGCCATCTTGTCACCAAATGGGAAAAGCCTCCAAGAACGGCCCCAAAGCACCAAGGACAGCTCTCAGAAAGGGAGGGACCAAGTAATTCCTTTGATGCTATTTTGGCACCTGGGTCCAGCCATGCCTGAAGTGAGACCTCTTGGACTACCCCATTTTTGAGCCGATAGTTCCTCTTTTTCGCTTCAACCTATTTCAGAAGGCTTTTCTTTGCTTGTCATGGAAATGATGCTAACCTAGCCCTCTTACTGAATAGCTACTGCCTATGTCGAGCTCACCGCCAAGTACCTTTGATGCGGCCGGTGATGTAGAGGTAACCGTGGTTGTCTATGCGGCCCAGGTCCCCCGTGTGTAGCCAGCCTTCGTCATTGATGACCTCCATGGTCACGTCTTCCATTTCCAGATAGCCCATGAAGACGTGCCGACCCCAGATGCAGATCTCCCCGATGCCGTCCTTGCTCTGCTGGTATAGCATGTTCTTACATCCAGCCATGATTTTGCCACAGCTGCCGGGGGGTGGGAGGGGGAAAACCAGGGCTCAGGGAGACAAGGTCACCCATGCGGGGCAGCCTGGGTCCACAGCCCGGGCTCCCTTGCGGGATCTGCTGCTCTCACCCTCTCCAGGACCTGGTGGGCATGAGGAGGGCTACCGATAGTTCCAAGAGAAGGAAATACAAATGGATTTGGAATGGACACAAAGAGGGTTTTTTCCCAACTTCACCCGTAACAAAAGGAACATGCAGGAGAGTCGTGTTGAGGTACCATTTTTTTAACCAACTGCTTTAGCACTGTGGGCGGTGTGCATGCAAAACGTTCGCTTCAGCGCTCTTTGTGGAGAAGAAGCCCTAAGTACCCACTGGTAAGGGGACCAGTTTGGTGAATGACGGTGCGTGCATGCGGGGGAACTCTTTGCAGCTGTTGAAGACGGGGCAGGTGCTTTGTAGAGGGAACATTCTCCACGAGATGGGCATCTCTGGACAGCCACATCCATTTGATTCCTGAGCTTGGATGATGTGAGTCAAGATCAATGGGAAGTTCATATTATGAACCTGGATAATGAAGGACACTGGGCTATCGGACCTCCTGTGGTCCCCGAGCACCAGACGGCAAGTAGTCATTGAGAGATGCTGAGTATTGTGTTCATTTTAGCATGGAAAATGCTTTTGTTGGGGAGAAAAGCATAAATGTCCAGGCACTGCTCATACCAGGTTAGCGTAAAGACAATGGTGAGGTGGTCTGGCCTCTGGGAGGGTGTTAGGGGTTGAGTTGAGCCCCTCTCTCCTGTCACATGTTGTATGGCTAATTCCCAGCCCCTGAGAATGTGACTGGATCTGGGAACAGGGTCATTGCAGATGTCTCAAGTTCAGTTAAGATGAGGTCATACTGGAGTAGGATGGCCCCAAGTCCAGTCTGCCCGGTGTTGTCCTAGCAAGGGGAAGCTTGTATTTCAGACATGCTCGTGGGGAGAACCACGTGTTGATGAAGGCAGAGATCCAGGGGATGCGTCTAAAAGGTCAGGCATGGAGCCTGGTTCCAGCTAAGCTTGGGAGAAAGCTAGCAAGGACCCATGGACACGTTTGAGATGGAGCATGGCAGAGACGAAGGGTCTTCGGAGGTGAACCTGGGTTAGATGAGCCTGGAGGGGGGCATCTGGAGGCAAAACTCACAGGTGACAATTAGGGAGACCCTGGAACATTCTAAGAGCCCTTGTCCATGGGCTCTTGGACACATGGGGGCTTCCCTTGTGAAGATTGAGGGCTTGGAAGCTGGATAATAGGCATCATCCTGCAGACCCAGGTCAGGGTTCACCTTAGCAGTGTGGCTTGCCCACCCTCCCCCCTTTAACTCTAGTGCCCCATGTTGATGGAGGGCTGGGGGTCTTCCCAGGAGGCTGGTACCTGTGAATCTTGTAGCTATTCTGGCTGAACATGCTGTGGGGTCCTGTGCATTCCGTCATACCGTATATCTCATGTATAGGCAAGTCCAGGCTTAGGAAGAACTGAGAGGTCTGTTGGTCGAGAGGCGCAGCCCCGCTGACGGTAAAGTGGCATTTATCAAGGCCAAGGTCACTCCTGACTTTGCTGAACACCAGGGCCTTCGCCATGCGGTAGCTCCCGGGAGTGTCATGTACCCTGTGAATAAGAACACCAGTGCCCTTTGCATGGCTCAGCAGCCATGGAGCTGAACAGGGGTCGGTGGGCACCAGCTGGAGAAGGCTGAGCCCCCTTCCCCATGGCCCTCTCCCTGCCTAGCTCCTCTGGACCCTCCACCTACCCCAACATCCTTTTTGTATTGACCTTTAAGCCAATAACTCTTCCCCATGAGAACACCTTCTTCCTCAAGCTTGAGAATTTGACGCTATTTTCTTTGATCATCTCCTGCATCTTCTCCCAAATTCGGGGCACCCCCAGGAAGATGGTGGGCTTTACCTCCTTCAGAGTGCTGATCAGGGTACCCTGCAAGAGACCGAGCTGGGTTAACCACACCTGCCCCTGCCTGGAACCCAGCTGTCCCATCTCTCCCCAGCCCGTTAGCTCAGCCCTGGAGAAGCTTCTCTTGGCTGCTTGGACCAGGGCAAGCACCCACCCCAGGGAGCCAACCCACTGGCGGGCTGGGGGACAGTCAGTGTTCCCTCTCTGGGTGAAGCCTAGGGATTTGGTGGAGAGCACCGACTGGTGACAAAGGCCAACCCAAGGAGGCAGTGGACTGTTGCACAGCTGTTAAAAAGGATGTAAGATTTGTTCCCAGACAGATCTGTGGGTTCATGCAATCCCTTTCAAAATCCAGGCAGACTTTTACACAGACTGACAAGCCCATCTCGACATTTATGTGGAAATGCAGAGAACCTAGACCGACCAAAGCGGTTTTGGAAGAGAAGAACAAAGTGGGAAGAATTACTACCCGATTTTGAAATTTATTCTGCAATAGGGTGATCAGCCGTTCCAGTTTGCTCAGAACCCGAGGAGCTCCTGAAAGGTGGGATTCTGTCATAAAACCAGGAATGTCCCACAAACCAGGGCAAGGTGGGCGCCGTGCCAGAAAGATAGAAACGTCCAGTTGGTGCGGTTTGGATGTAAGGCTGGACATACGGGTTCAACGGGACAAAATAGAAAATTCAAACACGAGTCTCTACATTTATGAGCAATTCGCAGTCCGTGAAAGTGCCCGCGCGACTCAGCGGAGGGGAGGCTAGTCCTATCCTGAAAAGTAGAAGCAAGGGCTCCATTTAGCGTCTTCTCCCTCACGCACAAGCGAACTCAGGACGGAGCACAGACCCAAGCGTGAGCGCGAAAACTGGAGCGTCCGTGGGGAGCACCACAGAGACCCCCATGGCCCCGGGGCAGGCCAGGGTCCCACGCACATGGCACCACACTCACGAAAGAAGAGAGAAAAGACTTCATCGGAGTTAAGAATGAAAAGACACGCCCCCGGGAGAGGGCGTTGGCGGACCAATAATCTGGTCCAACGCCACTGTAGGAAGAGACGCGGCCACATTTTGAAGTGAGCAAAAGGTTGGCACAGACGCTTTTCTCCCAGAGAAGGTCGATAACCAGTCACCAAGCCTGTCAGGAGGCGCTTGTCACCTGCTCGGCACGAGGGCTGCCGCCTCCCACCCACTTGCCACTCTGAAAACAGTCTGGCAGTTTCTTAAAACGTTAAGATACCTTTATCACCCGGCGGGTGCCGGGTTAGTTGTTTGGAAACTGGATAGTTTTCAGAGATGATAAGGATATGGGCAGATGGGAACTTCTCGGGTCCTGAAGGTGCGTGGGTGCACATGACGCAGTCAGCCAGAGAAGAAAGTATTTATCGAGTGGCTACAACGCCCCAGACACTGGGCACTGGGGTAGGAAGGGGGTGAAGAGGGGCCAAGAGGATACTGAAGCAGAAAACAAAATGACAAAAAGAGATGTGGGTAAGGGCCTTGAGATGGGTTTGGTTTGGGGAGCTTTTTGGTGCTGGGAATACTGACTATAAAAAAAAACAAAAAACAAAAAAACCCACACACACATTCTGCTTTCAAAACAAGTCACATCTTCGTTTTGGATTGTTCAGTGCACAACCCACACAACCATATGTGGCTGCCTTGATTTGGGTAAAGATGAAAACTAAAAGAATGTGGTCGACTGTTTCCGTTGTTCCTAAATGGAGTGTAAGATGAGGAGAGAGAAGGAACCCCCTGGATCTAGGGGCTTGGAAACCCAGCCACTGACCCCGGGCTGCCCTCAGCCTTACTTTGAGAGCGTCTGGTTGAGCAAAGTAGGTGAAAGCCCCGATCTTCATGGGTAACCACATATCCATCATTTGAGCTGCAATGTGGCTGAGGGGAAGGTAGCTAACCACCACCTCTTGCTTTTCTGCGGCACAAGACAGGCCACTGTTCTTTGCCACTGCCCCTGCCGTCCACGTGATCTGGAACACAAGTCAGGATTACGATCCAGGGGGCTCCCCCTGGCCTCACTGGAGGGCCATTTAAATGTGATTACTTAACAAACACTTACAGCACATCTGCTGTGTGCTAGGCCCTGCTCTCACGCTTTCCAAACATGAAGTCATCCCATGCTGGGTCAGTAACTACAACCCTTTATACTTTACAGGTGGAAAAACAGAAGCCCAGAGTGGTTAACGAACTTGCCCGAGGCCAGGAGGAGCTGTAAAAGGTAGTGGGTAGCTTTGGACGTTGAACCGACCCCCGTTGTATCTAACAACAGAGCCTAGCATTGGAATGTCTACATGGAAAGTCAGAAATCTTAACAGATCCAGTAAGTCGCCCAGGATCCAATCCTGGCTCCGTTGTTTGCTAGCTTGGCAACTCCAGGCTCTTTGCTCACCTGTAAAATGGGCACAGGGCTCCTCGTGTCCCACAAACCAAAAGGCCACCCATAATCCCATCACACAAATACCCCACAGTTAACATATGCTTGTTTCTCCTTTTCCACAATGTGCCTCAATATGTCGTTTTTGCAGATGTATAATTTTGAAGTCTGTTTTTCTCACTGGTGTCATCCTTTTGGGCAAACAGTTACCTTGTTAATCCTGCCACACAGGCCTCCACACCATTCCTCCCACACATGAGTCAGGGTCCTGCCTCAGGACCTTTGCACTGGCTGTTTTCTCTGCTTGGAATGCTCTTCCTCCAGCTTGCCCCGCAACTGAGTCTTTCTCACACTTGCCATTTCTGCTTGAATGCCGTACCACCTCAGACGGGCCGTGTCACGCCTCACAGACTGAAGTTGCCATCGTCTAAGTCACTAGGTGCCATCACACACCACAACAGTTCATGACATCTTATCTTCTGGTAAGCGGTTTAGCGAGAGGTTAAAGGGTGCCTAGATCAGCATGGTGACAAGTACCCTGGGAACTCGAGGAACTTTGAACTGTTGATGTGTGTGGAGAGAACTGGGATCACTTACTCTGGGAGGCAGCTCGGAGAGGCAGAAGCCATTCTCATCTCCATCTTACAGATGGGGAAACAGAGGCCCAGAGAAGGGGAGGAACTTGTCCCAGGTCACACGGCTGGCAGGTGGGAGGGCTGGGATTCGGAGCCAGGCGGCCTCGCTCCAGGGCTACTCTTGATCTCGGCTCAGGTCGTGATCTCAGGGTCGTGAGATTGAGTCCCAAGTTGGGTTCCATGGTCAGCAGGGAGCCTGCTGGAGATCCCTCTCCGTCTGCCCCTCCCCCCACTCTCTCAAATAAACACGTCATTCGAGAAAAAATGTGTGCTGTGTAGCCAGCCTGCGTGGGTTCAAGCTGCACCACGGTGCTCTCTGTGTGAGCTGGGCCAAGTTACAGAACCTCTCTGGACTTCAGTTTTCCCACCTGTAAAAAGAGCCTGGCAGAATTGGGAGGGTCGCCATGGGGATTTACCAAGTGTAAAGCTCTCAGAACAGGGCCTGGCACGTAGTGAGCGTGACTGTCTCTCCTGCTCTTTTTTTTTTTTTTTTAGCAGTTTATTGAGGTGAAACTGACAGTATCTGACACCCCCCATTTGTCTCCACTAGTGAAACCATCACCAGCCTCAACATAGTGAACATGGGGTCACCCCTCTGTCATGCCTCCCTTTGCCACCCACCTCCCCGCGCCGCCACCCAAGCAGCCCCAGGTCTGCTTTCTGTTCCTACGGCTACGTTTGCGTTTCTTAGGGTTTTGTATAAATGGGATCTTTTAGGACCTGTTCCCCTTATTCTCCTGTACCAGTGGTCTGAGCTACTATCACCTGTGGACTCCATCCAGACATGCATGTGTCTTTCCCAGACATTCCCAGACTTTCCCAGAGTGTATATCCTGCTCTTCTACCTGCTTATTTTATGTCGAACACTGTTCTACGCTCTCTAGGAATATGTCAACTCGTTTCATTTTCAAAACAGCCCGGGAGGCAGGGGTTGTTATTATCACACCCAGTTTAGAGCTGCACGGACAAAGGCTTGGAGATGTTAGGTGTCTGGCCCGAGATCACGAGGCAGGATGTGAACACAGGTCTGTTCTAAAGCCCCTGATCTCCCTGCACTGTGCTGCCCTCTTGGAAGTGTTTCGCTGGCTAGGGAGCCCCAGGGGTCCAGACCCCCGAATGCTACCCTGCCCCCAGTGGGGTGAGAACAGGAAGAGCCGGAGGGCCACTGGCCTGGGTGCTGTTACCATTGGCACTGGGTTCATCCCCATTGGCACTTACGTTGTCATGGCTAAGCATCACTCCCTTGGGATTGCCTGAGGTCCCAGAAGTATAGATGATCACAGCACACTGATTAGCCCTCTGGCTTTCCATGATCTGGTCCAGTTGGGAATCGGGGATGTCATTGCCCAGGTCCATGAAATCATTCCACTGTGCAGAAGAGACAGGCAGAGAATGGGGACTCGGGATGTGCGGGGGACCCTCGACATGCCAGGGGTCCCCTTCCCCTGTCAGGTCTGGTGCCATCAGCTTCTCTAAAACATGATTCCCAGTGAGAGGGAGGACTCAGGGTCACCAGTCGTGGTGCCTCTTACAAAAGCCCTAAGATGTTTGCTTCCCCTCCTTCACTTCCTGGTAGGCTGCTGGGTCTGCACCTGTGAGCGCAGCTGGTCCAGTCACAGTGAAGGTCAGGGCTTTTGCTGGAAGTGCTGGGACTGGAATGAATCATCCGGGCATGAATGAGTCAAGATGTAGCCCCAGGAGCTGCCTAAGGTCACACAGCAAGTAAACAGGAAAACAGGAACTAGCAGTCTAAACCAATACGGTCACACTCTGCTCTTACTGACCTTCCAGAATGATGCCTCGGAAGGAACTGTTGGGTTGTATGGACTGAGTATCACACAGGACCTGCAAAAATTCTACCACTGAGTCCCCCACCCACCAGGCTCTGGAGGAGGGCAATGCCCCGAATTCAAGATGGCAGGCGTGTAGCACCTTCCAGAAGCAGAACCAGGGGAATGCCAACCCCGTGACATCAGGTCATGTCCATCTCTGCTTGGTTCAGCTGGGAGGGAGTTGCTGGCATCCAGGGGGTGGAGGTGGGGGGGGGGCGCCACTCAGCATCCTGCAGTACGCAGGACGGCCCCGCGACAAAGGGTTATCCACCCCAAACGTCTGTAGCAACGAGATTGAGAAATCCCAGTGTAAGTGGTGTGGCTAGCAAGAGAGTTTTTTTGAAGTATCCAGACCTCAGGTATTGTTGCTCCGATGGTCACTTTAAACCTCAAAAGTCTATGATTCTGGTCATTTTTCTTCCTTATTTATTCACCATCCCTGGTCTTAGGATTCGAGTGTTTTCTGGAAGGTATGAACGCTGGCAAGGTTTTGGCTGGCCAGAGAGGATCGTGGGTATCTTCTGTCCCACCTGTGTGGGGGCAAACCTAATAAACGCCGTGACGTTGCGGGACTTCTGATTTGAGTCGTGGGTTTGAGGGTCTCATCTCGTGGATATTAACAGGAGCTTGTCCTTGGGCCTCACGAGCCTCCTGGCCCGGCTTCCGTGAGATAACCCAGTGTATCCTCACACACAGAACCTGTGCTCTGGCTAAAGCGTGCCTCTGTTGCTCATACCGGCACATTTCCCGACTAAAACACGCTAAGGCAGGGGCATCCGGGTGGCTCAGTCAGTTAAGTGTCTGCCTTTGGGTCAGGTTATGGTCCCAGAATCCTGGGATCAAGTCCCTCGTTGGGCTCCCTGCTCAGTGGGGAGCCTGCCTCTTCCCCTGCTTGTGCGTGCTCTCTCTCTCTCTCAAGTAAATAAATAAAAAATCTTTGAAAAATAAAACATAAAACACGGTGAGGCAGAGTGCCTTTTTAAAAAATGACTCTGATGGCATTTATGGTTTCACACACTCTTTGGTGGCCTTGCCCCTTCCTCAGTAAGAGGTGGTCTAGGTCCCCACCCCAACCCCCCACTGCTCAGCAGACCTTTTGGTCGGCCGTGATAGGCACAGTATGTCGGAAGCGATGGTGTGTCGCTTCCAAGAGTAGATTGTTAAAGGCAAGACATCTTCCACCTGGCCTTCTCTCTCTGTGTCTCTCTCTTTCGATGTTTCTATAGAGTTCTGAGCCAGGAGTAAGTCCAGAGATCCCTAGGTCACCATGCCGGAGAGGCCACAAAGAGAGAGAGGGAGGCCCAGGAGCCCCAGGTGCAGGGTCCAGACCAGAGTGAGGACTGGGGACTTAGTTAGCCTCCAGTGCAAAAATTGAAGGAGATGCAAACAACAAAATAAAACAAAAGGACAACAAACCTTTGGCAATCAAGAGAAATTGTATTTTAATGCAATATATTTTAAGTCACTAACCATCAAAAAATCCATGATGAATGAAATAATAAAAAAAAATTTTTTTTTGAAATATCAAAAATTTAAGTGAAGACAGGCTCCACAAGGGCTGTTGGTCCAAGCCATGGCAGAAATGCTCAGCCCCATATTCGTATTTATACATATTAAGTGACGACGGTTCATGGTTTTAGTGACACTATTATTGATGACTTGGCACATATTAAAGCCGCAAGTCAAGTTTTAACAAATTCTGGTTGGGATATAAAGTAAATATTTAAACCCAATGCTGTGGGTTTTCACACACCCTGCTTTTCAGTGACGTAGTATTTTTTCGGTTGCCTTAATGTTCTGAAAAAAGAAGTAAGAATAAAATGATCGTTGTTGTCTTAAGCCACCAATTTTGGGGGGAGACTTGTTGCACAGCGATAAATAACCAGAACAGACATCTTCCCATCAACCAGACCCTTCACAGCAGGAAGAAAGAGGAAAGCCCTAAGGCCCCATCTGCCCACCTTGCGGGGCCACCTTCCCCTTGGCTCAGCGGCCCCCGCCCCACACTCACACTTACTGTACTTACAGAGTACAGGTTATTACTGCTCCCCTTCATGGGCAGCTTGTACTGGACGATCACCTTCAGGGGCTCCATCCTGCTCTGCGGAATCTGAAAGAAATTTCCATGTGGGCCTCATGGCCCTGGGAGAGACTGAGGGTGGATGCGTTTCCTAAGCAATGGCCCACAGTGACCCCAGCCTCTTTACTCTCCCCTGCCCAGCCTGTACAACATGGCTCTTTGTCCCAACTGGCAGGACACAGCCTGATTTTAGGACTGGGTTCTTTGTGCTCAGTATCAGTAGCCTCCAACACTTAAAGGCTGATGAAGATGAGAGCCTCCTGAGTCCTGCTCCCCTCACAGAGTCATGGTTGTTGGTTTATGAGCCCGCCCCTTGCACTATATGCCCAGGATCCAGCTACCCTCCTAGCTGGAGCTAGGCAGCAAAAATCCTCTGTGCAGGTCACTGGAACCTGGGCAAGCTCAGGACTTTCTACTTATACCAAGGGCTTTCAGGTTCAGTAGACCATGCCTGCGGGATTCTTGTACCCTGTTGATACAAAGGAAGGGGTGTGGTTCCACAGCTTGTCTAGCCGATCCAATGATGAAGTCACTTCCAACATCTGGTATGGTAATTATAAATATAACCACGTCTGTAGCATAGGTTGAGAGAAGAGGACAGAAGCTCTGTGAACGGTGGGACAGGAGGTTTCCAGAGAAAGAGGGAACCGACATCCAGAATGCTTGGAACAGGAAATGGCCAGGGAGGTTTGAGGACTATGTGAAGTCTCAGATGGCTAGGTCAAGGATAGAGGGAGAGGATTGGGGTTGAGGCAGGGAAGGATGGTGAGGGCCATGTCGGGGATACCTTGGAGGCAGTGGTGAGGAGTCTGGAGTTTATTCTAAGGAGGCAGGGAGTCAGTGAAGAGTTGGAGGGCTGTAAGCCTGTGGGTGTTGCCTAGAACAAAAGACTTCCAAGCAGAACTGAATATCCAGTTTGGGAGGAGCGTGTCAGAAGCCTGGCTTTGAATCTTGCATACAAAGAGTATGCAATATTTTCTAATGGTAGAAAACCCCAAATCGTAAGCCAGTATTGGCAGAAAGGACCCAGTCTTCACCCACCACCCATCCCACAGTTTGTTCTGCTATGAACAGAACAAATAGGGAATGATAGGAGTATTGGAGATCGTTGAGGCGTGACTTAAGAAAACAATTTCAGAAAGCTCAAGGCTGAAGGGAGAAGTCTGTTCCCACTGAACCAGGTCAGGAATTAGGCGTCCAAGGAGGCTTGGTGGCAGAGTGTTCTAGTTCACTGAGTCTAGCTGGATTTCATGAGTCTGGAAAGTCTACCCTAACTTCAGAGATGTTAAAATGTGGGAAAACATGACCAGCGATGATTGGAGGATGCCATTGACAGCAAGACACATCTCACCTCCAGAGATATCGACAAGCAGAGAAGTGTTTAACTCAGAAATATGATATTGATGCAACAGCCACAGGGCCCTTGGGCTGAGTGGTGAACCTGGTCACCTGCCCTCACCCCCTGAAGGACTCCTCTCCCCATGGGATCCTCCTGCCAAAAGCCGGGTCAGGAATTTGCAGCTCATTCAAACACTAGTAATTGAAAAACTTTCTACAACATCCACACGAAGTTACTACAAGAAGAAAAAGGGAGCACGAGAGGAGCCAAATTTTATACGTAAAGAAAAGTCACCACAAAGCAAAGGAAAATTGCCACCCAACATTCCAACATAGGATCTAAAACATAACAAAGTAAATACAGCTAGAAAGGAAGAACACAAAGCAAAGCTACAAGCACTGAGGGAAGATAGAGCCATACCAGAAAGAAGTGAAACAGGAAGTGGTAGAACTTAGCGAAGAAATGGAAGAGAAAGCAGCATTTCAGGAATGATGACAGTATTTAAAAAATGACAATTACAAGGGGGTGTAAGCCTCAAAATGCTTCCATTTCTAAAAGAAAACAGTGGGCTGTATATAAAGTAATACATAAACACATTTAAAAAAAAAAATAGAAGCTTACAACCTGGGCAGGGAGCCTACTTAAAAAAAATAAAACAAATAAAGGGGATTTTAAAAAAAATAGAATCTCAGTAGGAAATGAAGTTAATACAAGTTGCAAGTTAGATCCCTGCCACTCTACCCGGTTCCCCCTAGTTATACGTGGAGGAGACTTACTGAGCCCAAGAATGGGGCCAGCCCCACCATCCAGCCTATCATTAACATCCACCTGGGACTAATGGGACAGGCAGTCAGAGCCCTGCAATCCCCCTGGGTGAATGGTGGGTGGTGTTCGAGTTTGGGCTTTACCGAAAGGATTTTCCTTAACTGTAGGTCATTCTCAACCAGCAGGACGTTCACTTTGGCATGACTAATGACGTACTGACAAGCCTCCGCAGAGTTGGTGGCATAAATACCAACACAAAGACCCCTGGGAAAAGAAAACACATGTGCATGTGCACATCTTAACATGGGAATGTTCTGGAAGGTGGAGGGGGCACCCTAGAGACAAGTTCTGAGTTTGCAGCCTTGGTACCAGCTTCCCTCCCTCCACAGCTTCACCGTGATGAAATGAAGCCGCAAAATAAGGATGAGGAAAGCAGCAAGTCCTGTAATGTCATCGTGGTGGCCGATCATGGAGCCCTCACAGCATCCCATTTTAAAGATGCGGAAACTGAGCCTTAGGGCAGGGAAGTCAGTTGTTCAGGGTCCCAAGGTAACCGAAGCTAGAGGCGCGGTTTGGACGCCCCCCCCCCCCCCCGGGTACCTGTTCCATTCATCTGACTGCCTTTTGTTCTTGCCTTTAACCATTCTGTTTTTCAAATTTGCATTTCCCTGATGGCTTCAAGCTCTTGTTGGCTACTTCCCTTTGTGAGCTTTCTGTTCAAGTCTTTCCTTATTTAAAATCTTTCTGTCGGGGCACCTGGGTGGCTCAGTGGGTTAAAGCCTCTGCCTTTAGCTCAGGTCATGATCTCAGGGTCTTGGGATGGAGCCCCACATCGGGCTCTCTGCTCAGCGGGGAGCCTACTTCTCCCTCTCTCTCTGCCTGCCTCTCTGCCTGCTTGTGATCTGTATGTCAAATAAATAAATAAAATCTAAATAAAATAAAATCTTTCTTTTTTTCTTTAAAGATTTTTAAAATAATCTATACATCCAGCGTGGGGCTCAAACTCATGACCCTGAGATCAAGAGTCGTATGCTTTGTCTTTTTATTACTCATTATAAAAGCACCGTATATATGGGAGATGCTAGTCCTTTGTCAGGTTGGTCGGTCAGTGTGTCTGTCTTGCCTCCTAACCTGGGGTTGCCCCTGAAATCCCCGATCACATCTCAGAGCCAGCCCCCGGGTGCCAGCCCAGAGTCGCGGCTCGCCCACTGTCGGAGTCAACCCAGCCCACAGTCTTACCCTGCTAAGATGGCACCGAGGGAAGCGATGAACCACTCAATGGAGTTAAACCCCAGGATGCCAACTCCGTGGAAACGCTGCAGGCCCAGCTGAGAAGGCAGAAACAAACAAACAGAAAGCAGAAACACAAAGACGTCTTGTTTCTGGGTGGGATCTGCTCACTGGGATGTGGGAAAGCAGATTCCAAAGCCCATGAGGTCACACTGGGAAAAGGCAGCGTTGAACCTAAAATCTGGGGTGTGATATTTTTGTGACTGTTAGGAGGCCGCTTTGCCTCCCTCTGCATAAGGCACCATTTATTTATTCTTGTTTGTATGTATTTTATTTTTTTAACGTGGTCAACTGTACAAAGCAATTTTGAGTGCACAACTCAGTGGCATGAAACATACTCACACTGTTGTACAATCGTCACCACCATATGTCTCCAGAACTTTCCATCTTCCCAAACAGAGACTCTGTTCCTAGGAAGCATGGGCTCCCCACCCCCTGCCCCAGCCCTGGCTCCCACCATCTCTCTGTCACTGTGGACGGGACTCCTCTGAGGCCCTCCTGGGAATGGGGTCCTGCGGGATGTGTCCTTCTGGGTCTGGGTCTTCTCACTGAGCCCTATGTCATCAGGGTCCCGCCATGTGGTGGCAGGAGTCAGAATGTCCTTCCGTTGTTAGACTGAATAATAATTTGTTATATGGGCGGACCACACTATATCTTCTCCATTCATCTACCAAAGGACTCTTGGTTCCCTCCACATTTTGACTGCTGGTTATCATGGTGCTGTGAACATGGTGCGAAAGGATGTGTCTGAGTCCTTGCTTTGAATCCTCGAGGAATTGTTGGGTCACATGGTAATTCCGTGTTTTATCTTTTGAGGAACCACCACACTGCCTTCCATAAGGGCTGCACCATTCTACATTCCCACCAGCGATGCACAAGTGTACTGGTTTCTCCATGTCCTCGTTGACACTCGCTATTTTGTCCTTTTTTCAAAGATAATGGCTGTCTTAATAGGTGTGAATTTATTTTTGTTTGTAATAACAGAAGTACTCCAAGAGTGATAGCCTGAAGTGGGGACAAATTGCACTTTTAAAGGTGTAGCCTTGGGGCGCCTGGGTGGCTCAGTCAGGCAAGCATCTGCCTTTGGCCCAGGTCATGATTCCAGGGTCCGGGGATTGAATACTTCTCCCTCTCCTCTGCCTGCCGCTCCCCCTACTTCTCCGCTCACGCTCTCTCTCTCTCTCTCTCTCTCTCTCTCTGTCAAATAAATAAATCTTTCAAAATAAATAAAGGTGTATCCTTGATCTGAATGTACTTGAGAGTGAACCAGAAACCCAGACATGAAGGTAATCCTCCTTGGGGAAGGTCCAGGTTTTGCCACACCCCAGATTTTAGGCTTAATGCTGGCTTTTCTTAACATGACTCCATGGAGTTTTGGGACCCTCTAACTTTGTTGGCTCTTTTAGTCACACGGGGCAAAGCCGGCAATGACCCTGTTCTTGAGGAAAATGTAAGCATTTCGAAGATATCTGCCTCCCAGTGCTTCAGAGCATAAGTATTTCTGCTTAGTAACAAACAGGCTGTCTCCTCTGCAGGTAGACAGTCTCTAGCAATATGCAGATAAACTGCTTAGATCCCTGAGGATTAGGCGAGTAGGGATCTTTGAATCCCCAGACCTAAGGACATAGCCAAAGAAGATCATCTCTCAGGAGAGGCGAATCGTCACAGCACCATGGTGGGACAGCCGAGCAGAGATTCCATCCTAAAAGAACGTTCTCATCATCGCTTGGTGAAGACACGTGGGTGTCAGAGGGGAGGGGAGAGGGGAACTCAGGTCTGGGTCAAAATGTGAAAGCACTTCCTATAAATCAAAGCCACCAGGCATTCCCTTTTATAATAGGAGCTACCTATCATGTCCTTATCTGTTGCTGCCTAACATATCACCAAAAACTTAGCAGCTTAACACAACACATGTTTTATTATTGCAGTTTTCATAGGTCAGGAGTCCGGGGACAGCTTCACTGGGTCCTGTGCTTAGGCTCTCCGGAAGCTGCAGTTAAGGTATCTGCAGGGACCGTGGTCACCTCTGAAACTTGAGAATCTTCTCCCACAGTTACTATTTGCTCTATTTATTTCCATGTAGTTAAATGACTGAGGTCCCTGTTTTCTTCCCACCTATCAACTGGGGACTGCTTTCCCAGAGGTGGTCTGCTGTCCCCTACCACATAGCCCCGTCCACAACTTGGCAATGTGCTTCCTCAAAGCCAGCGGAATAATCTTTCTTTTAATGGTTTTCCTGATAAGGTCAGGCCCACCAGAGCCCTTGCTGTTTTGATGTACTCAATGTCAGCTGATCAGGGAGCTTAATTCCATTGGCAAAATCTCTTCACCTTTGCCAGCACAGGAGGAAAATCCCATCAGAGTCACAAGTCCTGTCCTACTCAAGGGGAGGAGTCCGTCCATACAGTGTCATTATACCAGGGGTTGGGAATCTTGAGGGGTCATTGTAGAATTCTGCCTAACATGCCTATCAAAGTAGCCAATATGCACATTTTTTATAATATGATGCTGGCAAGAATAATAGGTAAGCAGTTTCTCTCACACACTCTGAGTGGGCCGATAGAAGCACTTTCTCTGTAAGAATTCATTGTACAAAGAAGGTTCTCTGTGCCTCCATGTATGGTAGCAAAGCTCAGAAACACCGTTACTACCCACCAGTATACCAGTATTGTTACATACATATTCGTAGTTGCTGAAAAGAGTATGGATTTGTTTTTAGTGAATCAATATGAAAGGAACTCAGAGCATGGCAGGCGGCTTCCAAGATGGCGCTCACTGATTCTCACCTCCCGGGGTTTGTGTTCCTGTATAATCCCCTCCCACATTGTGTCAAGGCTGGTCTGTGTAACCAGTAGAATACGGAAGAAGGGATAGTATGTCACTGAGATTAAGTCATGGAAGCTATGGGAAGATATGATTCCCATCTTGTCCACACTTTCTTTTGGATCACTCATTCTGGGGGAGCTGGCTGCCATAGTCTGAAGACACTCAGCCCAGTGGAGAAGGACAGGGAACAAGGAATAAGGTCTTGACCTCTTGCCAATTGCCAGCCATGTAGGTAAGCTTACAAGTGGACCCTCTGGCCCTTGTCAAACCTTCAGAAGGACAGCTTGACCACAGCTTCCTGAGACACCATGAAACTAAATTTTGGGGTAATTTGTTATGCAGCAGTAGCTAACTAATACATAGAGATTTTAAAAAGCAAGATGTGGGGCGTCTGGGTGGCTCAGTCAGTTAGGAATAGAACTTTGGCTCAGATCATGAGCTCTGGGTTGTGGGATCAAGCCCCGAGTTGAACTCTGTGCTCAGCAGGGAGTCTGCTTGTCCCTCTGCCCCTCTGCCTGCTTGTGTTCTCTCTCTCTCTCTCTCTCTCTCAAGTAAATAGGTAAAATCTTTTTTTTTAAAGCAAAAAAATAGCAAGATGGAGAATGATGGGTAGAGTAGGCTACGATTTATGTAAAAATTTGCTTGTAGAGAAATTTTATAATATATATACACACAGTTTATTCCCCAAAAGGATTTACAAAAAACTGGCAATGGTGGCTGCCTCCATAAGAGAGGGGTCAAGAATTAAAGGGAAAATTCTCACCAGTGAACCTTCATATCTTGTGGTGCCTCGTGCATTTTATACCATATGTTTGTGCATGTAGAATGAATGATCGACTAAGTGTTGAATGAATGAATAACTCATTTACCTTGATCAAGGCTCTTGCAGCCTTCCGACAAGCCGCATAGTACTGGTTGAAATTCAGAACTTCCCACTGCTCACCGTTCTTTGTTGCAAGGGCTGGATATGCCCCAAATCGTTTGACTGACTCCCGAAAAAAATCAGGGATGGTTACTGGGGTCTCATGGCCTGGCCCATGTTTGGATAGCCTCAGAAGGACTTCTCCATCTCGATGAATGGTCCACAGCCCAGGAGTAACTGCAAACAGCCACCAGGGTTGGTGGCAAATGTTTTTATTAATTTAATAACTTTGGGGGAGGAGTGTCCTTTTTGGGCTTGAAGGGCTGAGTGTTGAATTAATCCCACTCCCCAGGTGAAGTCACATGACCAACGCCAGCCAACCCATTCACGCTTCCTCTTTCTTACTTTTCCTTGCCCCCCCCAACAAATTACTGTGAAAAATTTCACACCTACAAGAAACCTGAAAGGTCTGTAGAGCCAACATCCTCTTACCACATGGTTTCCACAACTGCTGGCATTTGCTCCATTTGCTTTATCCTATCTCGGTCCCACCATCTCTCTACATCCATCCATCACTCTGTCCATTTCAGCGCAGCGGCTACCCATCCATTTCCTCCTTAAGCACTTTAGCATGTGAATCATTAGCTTGAGTTCCATATTATTTATAGGTTTTTTTTTTTTTTAAGGTAAAATGGACACGCGGCAGACTACATGCTTTGGTCAGTGGAATGTGAGAAGTGACCGTTGTGAGTCTCTCCCAGGCGGAAGGTTTAAGAGCCGGTGTGTGACCCACCATACCCCGTTCTCCTCACAAAAATGGTGCGAGCACTTGTCAGGGAGGAACCCTAGTGCCAGATACACATAATGCAGGTGAGAAACAAGCCCGTGTTGTGTTGAGCTGTTGAGGTTTGGGGTCGGGTTTTAAAGCAACATCACCCAGACCACCCGATTCCACCAACTTATAAGGACCAGGCAAAGGGTCTGGCTCAAAGCCAGTTTGTTTTCCTTCCTCACTCACCTCCTTTCAGGAGTGAAATGGTTGACCCCGAGAGAAAGAGGAGAAGAGGGTTTCCTGTGGAGAGAGTTGGTGTGCAGTGTGTTGCTCATCGCCCCCCAACCATGGGCCAAGTGAGAGAAGATTCTGGAAACCCTCTTGGAAGAATGGGTGTGTGACTCTTGACTTTGAAACTTATCCACTGGAGGGCTGGTAGTTGGAAATGGCCGAGCAGACAGCGGGGTTGGGAGAACACCACACGTCTACCTGCTGGGGGACACTGATTTTTCCCCTTGACTATATGGACCTCATGGAGAGGCTTTTGGCTGGAAGCCAGTAGAAAGAATTCCACTTCATCTGGAGATCGGTGTTCAGACACAGACCGTGAGGAAAGTCACCAGTGGGCACTGAGCAAAGAACATGAACTATGTATTAGTCAGCTAGGGCCACCATGACAAAGTTCCCCAGACTAAGTGGCTGACACAACAGAAATCTGTTCTCTCAGTTCTGGAGATGATAAGTATGAGATCAAGGTGTGTGCACAGATAGCTCCTTTGGAGGCCCTGGTGGAGAACGTGTTCCATGTCTCTCTCCTCATTCCTGGCGATTTGCTGGCCATCTTTGGAGTTCCTTGGCTTCCAGAAGCTTCATCCCAGTCTCTGCCCTTAGCTTCACGTGGCGTTCCCCCTGTGTGCCTGTCTGTGTCCAACTTGCCCCTTTTCACACGGACACGGTCATTGGGTTAGGACCCACGTGAACGACCTCTTCTTATCTAATGATACGTGCAGTGACCCCTCTTTCCAAATAAGTCACATCCCGAGGTGCTGAGTGTTGGGGTGCATCTTTGTTCATGTGACTATTCTAGCACGATGCAAGACACTTACAGATAACGTTTATTTCCCATAGTTGCGGGGGCCAGGAAGTCAGAGACCAAGGCTCTGGCAGATTCAGTGTCTGGTGAGAACCTGCTTTCTGGTTGATAGCGGCTTCTCACTGTGTCCTCCCTTGGCAGAAGGGATGAGGGAGCTCCCTGGGGCCTTCTTTATCAGGACACTGATCCAGTTCACGTGGACTTCGGGGCCTGATCCCTTCTGATCAGCCCCACCTTCTAATGTAATCACCTTAGGGTTAAGTTGCAATCTGGGAGTTTTGGAGGGACACAAGTATTTAGACCATGGCAGGGGGATATAATTCAACCCATGGCAGCCAGCATCAAGGCAAGGCTAGTTCAGAAGTGCCCCCGCCCCTGCCCCCAAGGAGAGTTAATAGCAGGAGGCATGACAGCTTACAGTGGGCAACGTTGGGCGGGGGAGCATCCTGGAGGGGATGAAAAAACAGCTCATCAGGCCTCCCCACCCCCACTGCTCCAGGCATCCAGCCTGAGGCCTGGGGGAAGGGAGAAGCTTTAAATGGGACAGAATTGTGGAGGGGTGTTGCCTGGACCCTGGTTAGGGATATTTTATTGGCTGTATTGCGATGAATGATGCTCCCCCAGAATTCATGTACAGAATCTCAGAATGTGACCTTATTTGGAAATAGGGCTTTGGCAGCTGGTATCAGTTGAGGACCCCGAGATGAGATTCTGGATGTAGGGTTGGCCCTAAATCCAATGACTGGTGTCCTTAGAGAAAGAGGAGAGGACACAGAGAGACCCAGAGAGGAACGTCATGTAATGATAGAGGCAGAGATAGCCGTGATGACTTCGTAAGCCAAGGATCACCAAGGATTGCTGAGGGCCACCAGGAGCCTGGAGACCGGGGAACGGACTGTCCATCACAGCCTCCAGGAAAAGCCAACCCAGCCGATCGCTTGATCTCAGACTTGCAGCCTCTAGAGCCCTCACAGAAGGCAGTTTCTCTTGTTTCCACCACCCAGCCTGGGCCCTGGGAATCTGACAGTGACCGGAATGACATTCTGAAGATCGCGGTCACTTGAGAATGGTTATAAAAGCTGTCGTTACTGCCAACATTTTAGGCACTCAGAAGAGGGCAGCTGTGGAAGATAATGAGTTCACTCTGTCTCGTGATGTTCCCTGAGCTTTGTTCCGCCGGCAAAGTGGTTACAGCATACAGAGGAAAATCATTATCGCATACCTGCACTATGTAGTTATCATAAAACATATAAAATACAAATGGTAATACAGAGTAGCATTTAATTACAATATACCTGTACTCTATGATACGTATTGTCTGTATTATATAAATAATATTACATCTGCATTATATGTATGTGAGTACATCTGCGTTATAGTATTACATCTGGCCCATATTACATCTGGACTCTGTCCCTCTCTCTTTCTCTTTCTATATATAGAATTGCATCTGTACTTTATATATATATATATATATATACACACACACAATGATACCCACTATATGTCCTATCACATTCATATCTATACTATATATATTATTACATTGTATACACACACACACACACACACACACACACACACACACACACATATAATTATATCTGCACTATATATAATGGTTGCTGGGTGCTTTACCCACACGGCTGTCCTAATAGGGAGGTGTTGTGATCAGCGTCCCGTGGTACAAATAATACAAATGAGGTTTCCAAAGAGCGGGCCCTCACCCCCTGTCACAGGCCTGGTGGAGCTCTGCTCAGACAGCAGCTGGCCTGGACGGCCTGTGCTCCCTATCACATGTAGGTAGGAGTCGCCCGTCCCTCCACCCCCGTTGCAGGCACATCAGCCAAAGCCAGGGACCCGGGCAAGGAACAAGTGTGCCCTGACTCTCTAAGGTGGGGTTGCTCCTTTATGAAAAGGCTTGGCTGAGTCTGTGCCCCGTTCCCTTTCCTATATGCACTCGAGCACAACATACCTTTGTTTTTACTCATGTCTCCTTCAGGGTCCTTAATCTCCACTTCCCGAGTCTTGGGGTTTTCGGCCTTTCCAGGTCCGGAGACACCATGCTTCACAGCACTGCAAGACACAAGGCAGGGAACTTAGCAGGGCCGGCAAAGGGGCTGCAGGTCAGCTTCCATCCACTGCCTAGAATCCTGGGATCGATTAGTCATGCTAGTCCCAGGCCTAGGAGGGGAGGAGAGGGGTCCGTGTGACAGATCGTAGAGCAGTTGTAAGTCCAGAGGGCATTCAGTCCGTGAGTTTCCAGAAGTCTCTTAAATGGCTGGGGCATAACAACCAAGTCCATATGTGGTCCTGTGGGTGAGGAAACATTCTGAACTCTAGCAAGGGAAAGAAACCCATGGGAGAGTTTGGTTCTGCTTGGTTGCCTTAAGGATAGTATGATGTGAAAACCCAAAGGACATAAAGGAAAAACAGAAAATCTTGCTACGTTAGGAAGTTTTTAATTTCCGGGGCGCCTGGGTGGCTCCATGGGTTAAAGCCTCTGCCTTCAGCTCAGGTCATGATCCCAGGGTCCTGGGATCGAGCCCCGCATCGGGCTCTCTGCTCGGCGGGGAGCCTGCTTCCTCCTCTCTCTCTGCCTGTCTCTCTGCCTACTTGTGATCTCTGCCTGTCAAATAAATAAATAAAATCTTGAAAAAAACAAAGAAGTTTTTAATTTCCACATGGCAAAAGAATACCATAAAAACTCAAAAGATTCACAACAAATTGAGAAAAAATACAGGAAACGTGTCTAATAGAGAAAGGCCTGATTTCCTTTACCTGGCAAGAACTCCAGTGGATCCGTAAGAAAAACTCCCGGTACCTCAAAGGGCATAAATAGATAGTTCCCCGAAAACAGATTTAAAATGACTTTCTCAGTCATGAGAGAGTGCAGTAGAAAATATTGTGATGTATTTCACCTGTCAGATTGAGTAGGCTCAAAAAGGCTGAAAAACACTTGATATTAGTGAGAATGTGGGGAGACAGACACTCTCGTACATTGTGAGACTGAGGCGGCCCCCTTGGAAGACAGTGTCCAGAGGTCAGACTTCAGATCACATGGTCGCTAACCCATCCTTGGAGGACAGTGACGATTGTGGCTGCCGGGGTCCTTGCATGCTCATGAACTGGACTCCGTTGTTTGAAACCTTTCGTGTCTAATGGGGTCAACCACCACTCCTTAACCTTGTCTGATTTTCAGTGTGTTAATCCTTAAACCTATTAAGCAACATTCTTGTAAACATTTACTTGACAAAAATTAATAGTTGTTTTCCTAGACAAAATTATGTTCCCCAAAATTCATATGTTGAAGCCCTACCCCGCACCCAGTGTGACTGTATTTGGAGATGGAACCTTTAGGGAAGTAATTCAGGTTACCGGAAGTCCTAATAATGGGGTCCTGATCCAACTGGATTAGTATCTTTATAAGAGGAAAGGACACCAGCCCTTGCTCTTGTTGCATCTTGTGAAGACACAGCTGTCTGCAAACTATGAAGAGTGCTGTCCCCAGAAACCAGCCCCGCTGACACCTTCATCTTGGACATCCAGCCTCCAGAACCGAGAGAAAATAAGTTTCTGCTGAGTCACCCATTCTGCAATACTTTGTTACATGGGGTAATCCACTTGCGTAAATGTTGAGAAGATACTAAATCTTAAATGCCATTTAATGAACTTGGGAATTTAACAAATCAAAATTTCCGAAACATCTGAACATTGGCCACATGTTTCATTAATCAGATTCCCCTAAGCATGTAATTAAAATCACAAATCCAGTATGTTATTTCGTTCCAATCCAAGATGTCTGCAGATATCATCAGCGGTATCCTCCACCACTGGCTGACATCATCTGAGAACAGTGTGTCGGTGGTTTCCATGAAGGAAAATTGTCTTATCTTCCTCGTGACAAACATTATACTCGATACCAGAGTCAAGCAGTCCTGAACTCTAGATTTGCAGTTCATGTTCTACAAGAACCTGACGATACACCGTCTGGCAAATACAGCCCCATGACCTGTGCACGGTTCTACGATAGCAGACTCTAGCTGTATATTTCAGGGAAAATGAGTAGCTAGAAAAGCACATTATAATATGAACTGAAATGAGTCTCTGTGGCATTTATACACACAGAGTAGATCAATCAATGGAGGAAAGCAAATAGCCAAACATAGCCGATCTGAATGAAGCTAGGACCATGCATGCAATGACATTCATAAAGTGTGCTACAAAAGAAGAAACCAGGAAGTCCAAGGTCCTCCTGGAGAAGCTGGTCCTGGCTTAGAAACTTGGTGTCCCTCACCCTGATCTATCCTTTTATCTCCATTTGTCCCTCCCTCCCTTCCTTCATTCCATCACCCTCCCTCCCAGCCATCCATCCATCATTCCATCCTTCCCCATCATCCATCCTTCCATCCACTCGTCCATCTGTCTACCCATCACCTAACCAACTTCCCTCCCTCCCTCCCTTTGTCTCTCCCTCCTCTCTCCTCTCTCCCTCATCTGTTTCCCTCCTTGCTTCCTTCTGTCTCCTTCTTCTCTCTTCCCTCCCTCTCCCCCACCCTACTATCCCTCCCCTTCTCCCTCTCTCTTTCTGCTCCCTCTTTCCCCCACATCTAGCCCAGTCTTCAAAATAGGTCCCCAAACTACTGCTCCCCCAGACAGGCACAGCTCTCTGGAACCTGGGCTCCCTCCCATGAGCCAGAGGGACCGTGCTCAATGGTGGATTCCATCAACCACATTCAATGTGTGGATTCCAGCCGCATCCCAACCCAAACAAGGCATCTGTGGTCAGTGGGGACTTGAACACTGAATGGATGTCAAATGACACGAAGAAACGATGGTCACGTTTTGAAGTGTGATGATGGTTTGAGAGTCAGTTAAAGAATCCCTGTTGCTGAAGGATTCCATGTGAAATAACACACTATCTGGGGTTTGCTTTAAAACGGTCCAGTGGGAGCATGGCCGCATGGAGAGAGACAAGGCCAGCTCCACGTTGACAATTATTGGAGCAAAGCAATGGATAGCTGTTGCTGTTGTTGGGAGGGGTGGGTCATAATGCTATTTGTGTGTGTGTGTGTGTGTGTGTGTGTGTGTGTGTGTGTGTGTGTGAAATGTTCCATCATAAAAACTATTAAAAAATAAGAATAAAATAAAATGTTGGTCTGACCATGTCCATCCTCTGCCTGCAACTCTCCAGGGCTCCCACCTCCCTCAGGGTGTAAGCCCACAACTTCTTTGTGCCCTGCACAGCCCCCTGCCCCTCCCTTCCCTCCCCTCCCATCTCCATGGTACATCCATATGCGGAACGCCACAGCACAGGGGATGGAACTGTGGATGCAACCGTTCGAGCAAATCTCGAAGACCTGAGGGAAAGAAGCCAGACTCAGAAGGCCACAAGCCTTATGACTCCATTTATGTGACTTTCTGGAAAAGGCAAAACAGTAGTGACAGAGAACAGGTTGGAGGTTGCCAGGAGTTGGGGTGTGAAGTGGGGTTGACTGTGAAGGGGGAACAGGAGGGAATTTAGGGGTGGGCTGGCAACAGTGACTGTGCTGCTGGTTATACGACTCCAAGCATTTGCCAAAACTCCAAAACTCTACACCAAAAACATGAATTCTACAATATGTGAATCAGGTGTGCTATGGACCCTTCAAAAATGTTCCATAGCTAAGTTCATTGGATTTAACAGTGTCACTAAAGATAAAACTTAAGGAGCAAATAGCTTGTTAGCAATCACTTCCCATCTCCTGTTGAAACTTAGTTCCTGTCCATAATATGCCAATTATGTATTGTTTAAAAGCCTAATTGTGGGGCGTCTACGTGACTCAGTTGGTTAGGAGTCTGCCTTCAGCTCTGGTCATGATCCCAGGGTCCTGAGATCAAGCCCTGCATCAGGATCCCTGCTCAGTAGGGAGTCTGCTTCTCTCTCTGCCCTTCCCCCCCATGCTCTCTCTCTCTCTCTCTCTCTCTCTCAAATAAATAAAATCTTAAAAGAAATAAAAGCCTAATCACTCTCCCCAGTATTGTTGCATGGTGATAACATTCTTTCAAGCTATATTTTTATTCTATCAGTCTAAAGAGAAAAATTTCATCCAGCCAGTTTTATTTAAAAAAAAAAATACATTATGTATCTTAAAAGGCTTACTTCGGCAAAGTAAAAAAAGAAAAGGTGTACTATACAACAAAATTATGTATCTCCCTTAAAAGTAAAACTTGGGATAAAACATAAAACGAGTAAGAATGTAGTAAAAGATCTACCTCATGCAGGGCATCATGACAAATATTTGGGTCTGCTGGAGAGGACCTCGAGGACAGATCTGCCCAGAGTTCCAACTGGGAGTAGAATCCATATGAAGACAAACCAAAGTAGACTGGAGACACCAAAGAATTACCCACCAAGGGGTGGGGGTGGGGAACGACGGGTCAATGTGTACAGAGTTTCCTTTTGGAGCAATGAACCATTTTTGCAACTGAACAGAAGTGATGATTGCACAAGACTGTGAGAGTATTAAATGCCGCTGAGCCATCCACTGTAAAAAGATTAATTTATGCTACGTGAGTGTCATCTCGATGAAAATTCGTACACACCCCAGAGAGGTTGGTTCATGGTTACTGAATCTGAATGTTCTTCAAGACAGGATATTAAATCAGAAAAGCAAGATTCGGGACAACATACAAAGAGGTGGTCGTTTGTGCAGGTGAATGGATTTGTGTATGTGTTTGTGACTCAGGAAAATATGGTTTTGCCTCTGGTCTAAGGAGTTGTTGGCTCTGTGGTGGTCATAAAGCAAAATGTAAGCGATCTGACCCTACCGCTGAAGCCGTGAGAAGGGGAAGATGATAGGTCTCAAATCATTAAGTGCCCACGGCCATCGGGGGGCCTGCCCTGGTTTCTCTCAAGCTGAACCATCATCAAGAACGTTTCTTACAAATTCAGTGAGGGAGAAAGACAGAGGTGGATCCTGGGACCCTCTTCTCCTTGTGTCTTCTGAGCACCTACTGTGTGCCAGGCAGAGTTCTAGGCACTGGGCAAAAGATGGACAAAATCCCTCCTTGAGCTGACATTCTAGTTGGAAAAAATAGCCAGGAAAGGAACAAAGATCAGTTCAGATAGTAACAGGATGAGCCTCAAAAAACATCATACTGAGCAAGAGAAGCCAGATGTCAAAGGACACAGTCTGTGATGCTGTGTCCTTTTGTAGGAAATGTCCCAAGCAGGCCAATCCATAGAGACAGAAAGCAGATGAGGGGGTGCCTGGAGCTGGGGACAGAACTATGGGGAGTGACTGCTAATGGGCATGTGCTTTCCTTTGGGGGTGATGAAAATGTTTTAGAACAAGGTAGAGAAGGTGGTTGCACATCAGTGTGAATGTCCTGAATGCCACTGACTTGTGCACCTTAAAGTGGTGAATCTTGTGATATGTGGGTATCCCTTTGATTAAAAAAAAAATTAAGGTTGGTGATGATCACAATGAGAACAACAGAACAGGGTGTTGTAGTAGAGAATGCTGGGGTGGTCAGGAAGGCCTCTCTGAGGAGGTGTCATCTGAGTTGAGTGAGACCTGAAGGATGTGGAGTTCTATTGGGGTGTGTGTTCCAGACAGAGCAGACTGTGGTTGCAGAGGCTTGGCTGTTCTAGGTGCAGACATATACAATTAGCCTCTGAGAGCAAGGGGCGTGTAGAAATAAATGCAAAGACAGCCTTACCTCCTGCCATACCCCTCACTTATCTGCTTGGACCTTCTCTCTATCCCCACACACTCTAGTCTCCCTCTCACCTCAGGGCCTTTGCACATGCTGTCCCTTATGCTCAAAACACTGTTCTCCCTAATCTTCATCCATTCCTTCCTTCCCAGACTCAGCCTCTGCCTATGAGTCTGTTCTTCACAGGAATATCCCTTGTTATCCCAGGCTGAGCTAGAGCCTACTCCCTCTTATTCCATCCTCTCTTTCCCTTTATTGCATGATCTAGCTTTGTAACTAGGGGTGTGTGTGTGTGTGTGTGTGACTATCTTGTTGATCACTATATCCCTAACACATAGCACAGTGCCTAGCACATGAAAGGGGTTCAATCAGTATTAGATTAATGAGTATATATCCAAATATATTGATTCTGTAGACCTGTGGTTCTCAACGAGGGGCCATTCTGACCCCCAGAGGACACTTGGCAATGTCTGGAGACATTCTGATTGTCACAAGTTGGGGAGTACTACTGGCATCTAGCGGGTAGAGACCAGAGATGCTGTTCAATGCCCTGCAATGTCCAGGATAGCTCCTCACAACTAAGGATCATCTGATCTCAAATGTCAGTAGTGCCAACACTGAGAAACTCTGGACTCGACAAGGCAGTTACAAGGTGCAGATGGCAAGCACTTAGAGTATTTTCTACAGAGAAAGATAATATGGGAGCTCTACCCGGAGACACTGCCTGTGATCTTGGACTGAGAGGATCTGGGTAAAACCAGAAGTCCTGTTAAGACCAAGACTATTAAGACACCTAGATGGCTCAGTTGGTTAAGGGTCTGCCTTCGGCTCAAGTCATGATCCCAGGGTCCTTGGATCAAGTCCTGCATGGGGCTCCCCGCTCACTGGGGTGTCTGCTTCTCCCTCTCCCTCTGCCCACTGCTCCCCCTACTGCGTACTCTCTTCTTTTCTGTCAAATAAATAAAATCTTAAAAAAAAAAAAGACCAAGACCGTTCATTACAGAACAGCAACGACAAGCAAAGCAAATAACAAATGGTTCTTTCCTGTGTGCTGAGCACTATTCTGAAAGTTTTCTGTGCATTAAGTCATTTAATCTTCACAATAATCCTAGGAGGTAGGTACTGTTATTTACTATTATTCCATTTTACAAATGAAACTAGGACACAACAAGGATAGTTTGCCTATGGTCACAGCATAATTTTTTCTTCTCAGTCTTGGGAGCATTCATTCATTCATAAGCAGCTGTAAGTGGAGATGGTATGACTCTTCAACCAAATAAACGTCCAATCCAGCCATGCATTTAAAGAATCTTTACCAGAAGCAGAATGTCTATGTATTGAGACATCAGAAAACAGTAAGTCAAGACAAGTCACTGACTGGGATAAGAGATTTGCTCTGTTCATATGCCAAGAAAGAACTGATATCCATAATATGAAAAGAGCTGCTCTGGATTAAAAAGGCATAGATAAGTAATCCAACAGGAGATGGGCAAAAACATGAACAAGGAGTTCACAGGAAACAGAATGGGTTATAAACAGGACAAGATGCTCATGTTCTTGATAATGAGAAAAATGAACATTAAATGAGATATTTCCTTCCCAGTAGATACAAAAATGCATCCAAGTGCTGGAAGGGAAAGGGGATGGGGGCTCTCCTCCACTACGGATGTGAGATAAAGACAGCACACCCAATTGACAAAGCTCTGGTGTTAACCATTAACAGTGAACATGTACATATACTTGAGTTGGCATTTTCACCCCCAGGCACATATACCCAAGAGAAACTCTTGCATATCTGCCCCAGGAGACATGAACAACAATGTTTGCAGCAGCAGTGTCTATAAGAACCCCACACTGGAAAACCCCTAATGTCCATCAACAGAAAAGTAGACATTTCCATTAGGTTGCACTACACTGTGAAGAAAAATCCAAGAACATACACAAAAAATTGGATGCATTTCCCAGTCCTGGTGCTGATAAAGAAGTAGGTTGTAGTATGATTTTTATATATAGTTTACAAACAGGCAACATTAATTAGTACTTGTTTGGGTGCTAAAACTACAAGAAAGTTTCTGAAGACAGTTCAAGGTAGGGGTTACACTATCAGGAGAGGGAGGAACATGAGAAAAAGATAGGACACACAGAGGATGTACAAGTTACTAGTATCATTTTATTCCATAAAGTGAAATAGGTATAGACATTTATTGCTATTCATTAAGTTTTCAGATTTTTTGTATTATTTTATATGCAAGATGTTTCACAATTTATTTTAAAGATTTGTTTATGTTAGAGAACATGGAGAGGGTGGCAGAGGAAGAGGGACAGACAGAATCTCAAGCAGACTCCCCATTGAGCACGGGGACACATAGCTCGATCCCACAATCCCAAGATCATGACCTGAGCCAAAAATCAAAAGCCGGACACCTAACCAACTGAGTCACCCAGGCTCCCCATTTCACCATTTTAAAAGGCCACATAGGGTTTATTGTAACTGCAAAAATTATTCAACACTAAACATCTTATCAATATGAGTTACTGCATTTAAGAGAGAAAGGGTGAAAAAACATATGATCTCTTCAAGATAGAATTTGATGAAATATCTGTTGTTTATGAAAATTCTTAGCAAATAAGAAATGGAAGACTTTCTTTAACTTGATAAAGTATATCTGGCAGAAATATTCAATAAATACTATACTTAATAACAGCAACAAAAGCTCTGGAAGAATTTCTAAGAAATCAAGAATAAGACAAAGATGTCATCTGTGACTGCTACTATTCAGCACTGATGAAGTTTCCTAGCCAATGCAATAACATAAGAAAAATAAATGAAGGAAATATGGATTGTAAACAAACAACACTGTCATTTTGCAGATAATATGATTGACTCCTTAGATTATTCAATAAAAATTTCTGTAAGGTGGTTAGGCAAAAGATCAATATTGAAAAAGCAATCAATAGCTCTTTTGTACACCAACAGCGATCAGTGAAAAAGTACAACAAAAAAAAGATACTGAGGGGGGCACCTGGGTGGCTCAGTGGTTTAAAGCCTCTGCCTTCAGCTCAGGTCATGATCTCAGCGTCCTGGGATCGAGCCCCGCATGGGGCTCTCTGCTCAGCAGGGAGCCTGCTTCCTCCTCTCTCTCTCTCTCTCTGCCTGCCTCTCTGCCTACTTGTGATCTCTGTCTGTCAAATGAATAAATAAAAATAAAATCTTTAAAAAAAAAAAAAAGATACTGAGGGTCTGGCTCAAGGCCAAAATGTGTGCTGTGGTAAGGCTAAGTCCTACTGAAATATACCACTGAATGACAGCCAGACACTGAATCCCAAAGGACCCCCACATGCCCCTCCCCCATACCAATGTCACTTGTCATGAGTCCTGGCCATCATGGCACGGCATTGGTTGCTGAGACATTTGGGTACTCAGAACGTTTTCTTCTTCTGCAAAGATCGTAAACAGCTTGCCTATCCTGGAAATCTGGACATGTGCTGCGTCTTCCCAGACCTCGTCGCTGTCTGGGTCCAGCCAGGATGGTAGTGGTGACAAGAAGCAGAAAGGTGGGCAGTATTCCTTCCCAACAGCCCTTCTACCCCATTCAACCTTCCAGAACCTTCCATCCCAGACACCTCTTGTGACATCACTGGCTGTCTCTGCCTCCCCACCCCACCCCCACCCCTGAAGGAAACTGCTTCTGGGGCAGGAAGATTGCTGTTCTCTTTTCACTCATCCATTTGTTCATGCATACATATGTGCACACATTGCATTCCTGCAATGGAATTTGTGAAAGTTACATGGAGCTACCACACTTAACGTTGTGCTAGATGCTGGGGACACAAAGAGGAGCAAAACCAGATGAGGTCTGTTCAGGAACCCAGCAGGAAACCTAGAATCATACAAATGAATGCAAACTTAGAGTTGTGCAGAGAGACCTAAGTCAAGTGGGTTTGATGAAGGACCTGACACGGGGAGGTCAGGAGAACTTCCCTAAGCAGAGACAGCAAGGATCTCACTACTTTCAATTACACTAACCTGCGTTATGTATCTTCAGACTGCATCTCCTTCTCTATGTCTGTTTTGCTCATTGCTGCATCCCTGGCAGGGCAGAGAGTAGGTGCTCAATACATAAAGATTTATCAACCAAATATTCTGCCCTGCTAAGAGAAAAGAACAAGGAGTGTTCCTTTATCTCTGGAGACTTCTGGGTGGTTCAGGTCCATGGCTGACCAGTGTTCACCCCACAGAGTACTGAGGTGGCTGTGGCTGGGAGAGCCAGTGTCCACCAATAACCATTTGGCTCTTTCTCTAGACCTAATGACTGTGTTTCCCAGGCCCCTTACTCCTACATGTGGTCATCTGGCTGAATCCTGACTCATGAGATGGGGAAAGAAGTGATGGAGGCCACTTTGGGGTCATGCCTTTAATGGACGGGAGATGGCGTTCACTGATAGGCAAATTCACAGAGACAGAAAGTAGAATAGGGGTTGCAAGGTGCTGGGGAAGGGGGGTTGGGGAATGACTGCTAGCAGGTATAGAGTCTATCTTTGGGGGTGATGGAAATATCTCGGAACTCGATAGATGCGATGGGTGCACAACATCCTGAATGTACTAAATGTCACTGAGTTGTCTGCTTTAAACTGATTCATGGTTAATCTAATGTGAATTTATGTGAAATTTTCCTCAAAATTTTTAAAATAATTAGAGTATTCTGACCCTGTGACATGATTTAGTACTCAGAATGCACTGCATTAGAGCAACTAAAGATCAGAGAGGCCAAGCCACTTGGTTGAGGTCACACAGGAAGCCAGTGGCAAAGGGACGGAAGTCTTTCTTGGTTCTGTAACTGTGCTGTGTCGCAGCTCTTCACAGAACCTGGCTGTGTGACCATTCCAACCAACACAACATAAGGGCAAGTCAGCTTCTGGAAACATCTGGTTTGAAGGGCAAGCAGGAAAGGAACGATCGCCTAAGTTTCCCCTTCCCCCGTCTTCCTGCCTGGAATGGGGATGTCCTATGTGGAGCCATGGCAGCTGTTTTGCAATCATGAAGCAACAGTAAGGGACTCAAGAAGCCAGCAGCTTAGGACATTAAGATCCTGGGCCCTTGAGGGCAGCAGTGAGTAGCTGAATCAAAGCCAGCCTCTGTTCACATAGATTTCCCATCTGCTAAAATATAAACGCTTATTTTTTTAAAAAAAATATTTATTTTGGAGAGAGAGTGAGCATGTGCGTGAGTGTTGGGGGAGGGGCAGAGGGAAAGGGAGAGAGAATTCTCAAGCAGACTTCCTCCTGCATGTGGAGTTCAATGCACAGCCCAGTCCCAAGACCGTGAGATCATGACCCCAGCCGAAATGAAGAGTCTAGGCACTCAACTGACTGAGCCACCCAGGCACCCCCAGGCCCCAGTTTTTAAAAAATATTTTATTTTTAAGTAATCCCTATGCCTGATGCGGGGCTTGAACTCCTAACCCCGAGATCAAGTGGCATGCTCTGCCATCTGAGCCAGCCAGGTGCCCCAAGACCCTATTTCAAAACCCTGCTTTGGTTAGATTTTCTTTTAGATGTAGTCAAATGTTAACTGCTATAACCTTCAAGTGATATTTCCGGGCTGACCAGGAGTTAACAGTTTTTGGAGGACATAAGTTATCTAGCTAAGTAATCAGCCCCACATTTCTCAAGACAAAAGTCTTAAACTCACTCATTTGCTCCCATATTTTCGGCAGCAGTGCGTCAGTATAGCTCTGTTGAAGAACACCTTGGCTGTATTTGTCAGAAATTTAAAACCTATACCCTTTTCCTCCTGTCCCTGTATTGTGTTAATTCAATATTCTATGGGGCTGACCCATTACTTGTTTATGTTTAAATTAATTTCTAAAAATATTATGAACGTAATACACATATATAATTTTTTTAATCTCAAAATCCGACTAAAAAGTGGGCAGAGGATATGAAGAGACATTTTCCTAAGGGAGACATGCAAATGACCAGCAGGTACATGAAAGGCGCTCGACATCACTCATCATCAGGGAAATGCAAATGAAACTTACAATGACCTATCGCCTCACATCTGTTAGAATGGTCGTTGTCAAAAATATGAGAGAACAAGCACTGGCGAGGACGTGGAGAAAAGGGAACCCTTGCGCACTGTTGGTAAGAATGCAAATTGATTGGTGCAGCCACTGTGGGAAAGAGTATGGAGGATCCTCAAATTAAACCATTAAACCGTCTAATCCAGTGGTTTTTACTTTGGGGTATATACCCAAAGGAAGTGAGAATAGGACCTCAAATCATGTTCATCACAGTGTTTTGTTTTATTTTGTTTTTTAACAATAGTCGAGATACGGAAATGACCTACCGTTGGTCTGTAATTGGATGGATAAAGAAAATGTGAGATGCACGTACACACATACACACGGACGTGGGAATCCTGAATAGCCATAAAAAAAGAAGGAACTCCTGCCATCAGCAGCAACATAGATGGACTTTGAGGGCATTATGCTGAGTGAAATAAATTAGAGACTAATGCCGTATGGTCTCACTTATCTGTGGAACCTAAAAACAAGACGAAAGGAAAAAAACCGAACTCACAGATACAGAGAAGACTGCCAGTGGCCAGAGAGGGGGCAGTGGGCGTGGGCAAAATAAGTGAAGGGGGCCGAGGGCTACAAACTCGTTATAAAATGAGTTAGTCCTGGGGATACAATGTGTGTACAGCATCGTGGCTGCAGTTAAGGATACCGTAGTATTGTGTATTTGAAAGTTGCTAAGAGAGTCGATCTTAGAAGTTCTCATCACAAGAAGAACATTTTAAGTACATATGCTAACAATAACAAGATTTATTGCTATCATTTTGCAGTATACCCAAGTAGAATTATGGGGTGACCTCAAACTCCTATGTCGGTTATAGGTCAATAAAAAATAGTAATAAAATAAAATAAAATAAAATAACAAGGCCTCCCCACACCCCCACAGGTAGTGGCCCACAGAATGGTGGTTTGGCATTACCCGTGTAGACCAGCCCCAGTGATGTTCATTCAGTTTTTCTTTTCTAGAGAAAATCTGTACGTTTTCTCAGAGCTCCCCCTGCTGGGAGCTTCCATCTCTTACCCCTCCCCACCCCCAAACTCCCCCCCGCATCTGGGGTCTCTACCTCCACGCAGCAGAGATGGACAGCCAGGAAAGTAGGCTGCAGTGGGGTTTTTTTTTTTTTTTTCTTTTTAAAAATTTTTTTAAAGATTTTATTTATTTATTTATTTACTTGAGATAGAGTGAGAAAGCACAAGCAGGAGGTGGGGGTGGAGTGCAGAGGGAGAGGGAGAGGCAGACTCCGAGCAGGAAGCCAGATGCAGGGGCTCGATCCCAGGACCCTAGGATCATGACCTGAGCTGAAGGCAGATGCTTAAACGACTGAGCCGCGCGCCCCCCGCCCCCACCCTGCCACCAGGCGCCTTGACTGTTGTGTTTTCTAAGTTTGAATTTTTTATAGATACATTGTTTCACCCTTGTTTGGGTATCTAAAGGCTCAGAACGATTTGTAACAAAGTGACAGTTCCCTGTTCCACTTCTGCCTGCTCAAATCCCTTTCATTAGTCACCAACCATTTTCAACACCTGCTCTTTCCTCTTATATGAAACTCACTTTCAGGCATTCTCTTTTTTGACTTCCTGTTATGACCTTGCTCTCCGATGATGTCCTATGTGCTTTAATACCTTTTCCCATTACGTTTGCCTTAGGCTTACCAGTAGCTTTCTGTCTTTTTTTAAAAACTATTTTATGTATTTATTTGACAGAGACACAGGGAGAGAGGGAACACAAGCAGGGGCAGTGGGAGAGGGAGAAGCAGGCTTCCCGCTGAGCAGGGAGCCCAACGTGGGGCTCGATCCCACGACCCTGGGACTCTGACCTGAGCCAAAGGCAGACACTTCACGACTGAACCACCCAGGCATCCCAGCTGTCTTGTTTCGTCTTTTTTGTTTTGCCATGGGCCTAAACATTTAGGACAAAGATTGACAAACTACAACCCTTATACCAATACGGCCTTCTGCCTGTTCATATAAAGTTTTATTGGCACACAGCCATGCCCATTCATGTATTTCTTGTCTCTGGCTACTTTTGTGGTGTAACAGCAGAGCGGCGAAGTTGCGACAGAGACCATATGACCCACCAAGCCAAAAATGTTATCTGGCCCGGACAGAAAAAGGTTGCCAACCCCTGATATAGAATAATCCATCAGTCCTTTCTTTCCCCTCCTGGGAATCTTGGCCTCTGAGCCCACTCTCCCGTCTGTTCCAGCCTTCCAGTCTGGTTGTTTGTATGTGCGGTGAGGTCATGCAGGATTTGGGTGAGTCCTAAATTCAATGGCTAGTGTTTTTATAGGAAACACACACAGGGAG